GTATCCAAGAGAAATCGTGCGGGAATCGGTTATGGTGACCGGTTTCTCTTGGCACATGTCTATCAGGGTCTGTATCGCTGCCGGCTTTCCCAGTGGAAGCCGTGTTAAGCCCGTGAAATGTAGGTCGGTGACGGGCCATCCATACATCTCTCCATAACGTGAGAATAATCCGGGCTGCACGTGCTCCGCCGTCACTGCGCGTCGCTGCGTGTGTCCGTGCGCCGCAGCCAGCCGCCGCCGGGTGTGAGCCCCGATGATGCGGGCGTGTTATGCAGGCAAGCACGCCGCCCCGCCGGCCGTCAGGGACGGGCGGTGGCCCGCCCCACGGAGTTCGCCCCGTCGTGGCGGCGCTGTCTGTGCTCGTGTCGGTGTCTTTCGGTGTCGGTGTCGGTGTCAGTTTCATGTCCGTGTCCGTGTCTGTGTGCGGGTCCGTGTCCGGGTCGGTGTCCATGTTAGTGTCGGTTTTGGTGTCTCCATTGGTGTTGGTGTCAGTGTCTGTATCGATGCCGGTGCCGGGCCGGTGCCGGTGTCGGTGTCGGTGTCGTTGCCGTTGCCAGTGCCGGTGTTGATTGCGGTGTCGATGGCTGTGTCTGTGTCGGTGTCGGTGCCGAAGTCGGTGCCGTTGTCGGCGTCAGTGTTGTTGCCGGTGCCGATGTCATTGCCAATACTGGTGTACGTCGGTGTCTGTCGGTGTGGGCGCCGATGTCGGCATCAATATCGATGTCGGTACTGATGTCTTTTGGTGTCGGTGTCTGACCAGCGAGCGGCGCGGCCGGCGTTCGGCGGGCGACGGCGCGGCACTGATGGTCACTCTGAGCCGGCGCCGGCCGCGGCTGAACGCGTCCGGGTGATGGGCCTGCTTCCGGCCTGCCCGGCTCGAGGCCGAGACGACGCCCTCGGCGCCGCGCGCTGCCGGCCGCCCAGCGGTGGCCCTCGCGCCGGTGGGGGCCTCTCCCGGCGCCTGGTGTCGGCACGGCGCCGCCTGGACCCACAAACACCTGGCCGTCCACCGAGAGGTGGCACTGTCGTGCGCTACTGCGCGCCGCGTGCCACGGCTCCGAGATGTCAGCAATTATTGAACACCAATTAGTGGAAAGGGGCTGCCGCGGCAACCGGTCGGAGAGCTCGCATTAGTATGCTGCGCGCTCGTCTGGTGGCTGGTGCTGCGCCTGCATTAATGAAAGGCGCGCGGGATATAACATTTATACATTGCCGAAGTTGTTGGATTCGTTCGACTCACGTGAGTGGAGCCTCCCCCACAGCGTGCACGCTGCCGTGTTCGGCCGCCTTCCGGGGCCCTCTGCTGGCGGTAATTGCGTCTCCGGACCGGCGGCGGTCTCAGTTTGGGATTTGTCGATAATGGGCTCGGCTCAGGATATAACTGAAGTGCTTGGCCCGGCAAACATGTTTGGCTCCCGGCCGGACCGGTCAGCCGTGTAGCGGAAGTCGGCTGACGTTGGCTCCTAGGTCACGTGATGTCGGAACGGCGCGGAACAAAGCCGGCTCGGTCGTATCTGGCTAAAAGATTGCTGTGGGGATGTGCCCAGCTAAGGGCACCGTGCTTTGGAGGTGGACTCAAGGCGGTCGATTCGACTGGGCTGGTCAGGGCAGTTCATCAAGCTCTGCTGGTTTTAGCATCTGCTATGAGTCTGTAGACCGTTCGGAACAACATGCCAACTGATTACCAATAATGAAAGTGGTTTTGCTGTCCCATCGAATGTTCGCTGGCGGATTCTTCGCTCAGAAATATTGAAGCGTAATCATCATCTCCGTTTTGAAGGGTGTAGATGTAGAGACAGGTGACATGTAATCATGGTCAGCGCAGACGAATATTTTGTGAGGATTACTTTAGCTATGAATTGATCGAGCGCCGCGCAGAGCCACGCTGTCGGCACCTGAACCCTCCCAGCCGGATAATGCAACCTCCAGCTGTTGATTGATGATCTTATGATCTGATGATCTGATGACTGATCTCGTCCCCGTGGGTCATACCAGGTTTTTGTGATTTATTCTTAACTCATGGTCATGACGCCAGCTAACGTCATTCCTTATGCCGCATCTGTGGCCGCGGAGGTTTTTGCGCGCCGCATAATGCACTGGAGCCAGCGCACATATCAGAAATATTAACTAAGGCTTTTTTAAAACCCCAACGGCATTCGTCATTACGAATGCCGTTGGGGTTTTGCCGTTCATCTCGTGAAATAGGCGGGCAAGGCATGTTTATCATGCCGGTATCTTTGTCTTCTTTCCCGACTCATACCGCACACACGCAAATGAGTAATTTTCCTTTTGAGCGTACCCAGGACGCCCTTCAAAAGCGCCGCCTCTGCTGGGAGCTCCGGCGAGTTTGGGCGTGATCAAAGGGAGTTGCTGGGTTGAAGAAACCATTCCCCAGGGTGGCCCGCTCCCCAAGCCATTTGATCTTCAGCGGTTTCCATGCTGGCGCGGCGTTCGCGCCGTTACAAGGTCACAAGCGGCTGAATCGCCGCGCCGGGCGCCTTGCACTCGGCGGGAGTTCCACGCGGCCGTGTGGACCGGCCCGCGCCGCGGGTGCGTCGTCGCAGCCGCGCCCCGGGCGGAGCCGTCCAGGCCGGAGCCGCGTGGCGCCGGTGTCGCGGCGCGGGCGGCTGTCGCGTGAGGCAAGGCGGGCTGATGCTCGGTGGCTGCCCGCCCGATGGTCTTGCGACGTCGGCTCTGAGGGGCTTGTGCCTGAGCACCGCCACCACCGCCACGCTGAGGGCCGCCGCAGGTCCCGCCAGTCGGTCCGCTTCTGCCGGCATTCTTGTTGTGTGTTTTGGGCTCGGTTGGGGTTGGTTTTGATCTCTTGGGGTTGGGGTTGAGGGATTGGGGTTGATTTCTTTCGGCCTGAGCTGACCGTTTCCGGGCTGGAGGATTGGGAAGAGAGGTAAACAGCAGAGCTGGTGCTGTGGTCGTCCTAAGATGCCGCGATCCCGAGACTCGCCTCACAGAGATGCCGCGATCCCGAGACTCGCCTCACATAGATACCGCGATCCCGAGACTCGCCTCACATAGATACCGCGATCCCGAGACTCGCCTCACAGAGATACCGCGATCCCGAGACTCGCCTCACATAGATACCGCGATCCCGAGACTCGCCTCACATAGATACCGCGATCCCAAGACTCGCCTCACAGAGATACCGCGATCCCGAGACTCGCCTCACAGAGATACCGCGATCCAGAGACTCGCCTCACAGAGATACCGCGATCCCGAGACTCGCCTCACATAGATACCGCGATCCCGAGACTCGCCTCACATAGATACCGCGATCCCGAGACTCGCCTCACAGAGGTACCGCGATCCCGAGACTCGCCTCACAGAGATACCGCGATCCCGAGACTCGCCTCACATAGATACCGCGATCCCGAGACTCGCCTCACATAGATACCGCGATCCCGAGACTCGCCTCACAGAGGTACCGCGATCCCGAGACTCGCCTCACAGAGATACCGCGATCCCGAGACTCGCCTCACATAGATACCGCGATCCCGAGACTCGCCTCACAGAGGTACCGCGATCCCGAGACTCGCCTCACAGAGGTACCGCGATCCCGAGACTCGCCTCACAGAGGTACCGCAATCCCGAGACTCGCCTCACAGAGATACGGCGATCCCGAGACTCGCCTCACAGAGAGCGCTACCGCGTCGCAGGCGCCGATGCGCAGATGTGCGAGTGAGACTGCAATCCGAGGCGGTCGTCATGCTGACCTCCGGCTGACAGCAGCGGTCGTGCACACACGCGTGAGAAGACCCTGGATAGAAATGGCGCTCGCGCCATCCACTGTGAGGGTCGGCGGTCACCGGAGCAGCGGCGGCGGAGAGCCCCGCTCGGGGGCGATCAGAGCGCCGCTGGCGGTCCGCGCCGGCCGTCGCGCTCCGCCCCAGCGACACGGCAGGAGCTCGCCGCCGTCTCCGCGTCCGGCCGCCGCCGGTCGACGCGCGGCGACCATCGCCGCCGGCGAGGCTGGCGGTGCAGGGGCCTCGCCACCGTGCGCGCCGGCGCCGCTGTGGCTGGTGTGCGTGCTGCGGAGGCGCCTTCGGTCCATCTGTGGGGTGTCCGGGCTTGTCTTTGGTGCACTGATCCGAATAGAGATTGGTGGGCGTTTCGCCTTGTCCAGTTGCACGCATCATTACGTAAGGGTTGTAACCTCATGTGGAAAGCAGTAGCATCGACGGTCACCGTTATGGCCTGCGTGGTTTTGTTACACGTAATTGGTATGCGTTTTCGAATGTTTAGAGAATTTGGCATTCATCCAGCTGATTGTGTCGGAATGAAGCTGGCTGGAGAAGCTGCGTCATTATTAAAGTTAATCTTCATCCCTAAAGAGCGTGGTGAAAGACGCATTCCATCCGTGCTTGGTCTTTCCGCGGATCTTTTCGTTCTCAGCGCCAGGCTCGTCGCACTGGTATTGCGTTCCGTCTTTTGCTTGCGCCGTGCGTCATCACGGGTACGAACAAACCCATGCCAACCTTCAACCGGCAGCTGTATAAGTAGAGTGACATCTAACAAACACACACCCCCAAAAGTACACCGTTCCTGCCATGCATCTCATGTGCTATGCTGGCACGCCCATCACCGATATCATCAAGATCATCAGGACCACTGCTTTGTTAGCCGACGCCATTTTGTTTTGCTTGGCTAGAAATGATTGCATGACGGAGTCACGTAGCGCTTGAATTGCGTCGATAACGAGCCCATCAGACAAGAGTGCACTGCTGTGTTTCATTCCAACGAACGTGACCGTGGATGGTCAGATCCGGCCTGTGCCAGACCTTTTGCTGTTACGCTCATCGCACCCAAAATGGATCAAGTCTTTTTCGGAGGTTCTGGGTGCGGCAATCCTCAGTGGAATGAGCAGCCTCTATGCTCTGTCGTTGTGCTCGCCGTAAAGAGAATGGCAGGTCTGTTCCGATGCGGCAGAATGGCGTAGTGAGAGCCGTCCTGCGGACCCCAGCTGACGACCGCTGCCTTCATTGCAGGGAGTGTCGATCTGCCGGATAACCAGCCGTTCGCCGTCGACGAGAATGAGGGCCTGTCCGGATACGACAAGAACCTTTATCTCTACAGCGTAAGTCGTCGGAACGCCCGTCACGCAGCTGATGTGGGGATGGACGCTCGCACGGTTCTGGGAACGTTGCGTAGATTAAGAACCGCGCTCGGCTTGTGCAACACCAGAGTTCGCTTGATGCTTGTTTTTCACCAGTGACGCAATGACGGGCCACAATGGCGTATACGTCGGCCGCGTCTGCCTCCGTGTGGACGTCTCCCCAGCTCATCGACGCCCCGCTGTCCAGCGAGGGGACGTGCCCCGGTGCCAGCGGTGTGGGAGTCGCAGTGCCGCTTGTGCCCCGCTTCCCGCCGTTCGGCAGTGGCGGGCCCATACATCCTGGCTGGGCACGGCTCTGGCGTATTAAGGTCGCACTGGGCGCATGCGGGGCTTCATTAGCCCTGCGCGCATCACCGCGATAGATCGCCTCATTTGCAGTCAGGACGCGTTTCGCCATAGCCAAACACTTGTTACGTGTGCACTTCTTTTTTATTTTTGGGGGGCTGGTGTCTCACTTGGGCTTGGCGCATTTGTGCCGTCGGTGTCCCGGTGGTGATTGCTGCTAGCGTCTGCTGCAAGGCATTGGTCGTGGTGGACACCCGTTGTTGCTCTTTGCGTTATTATTGGCGCTGATGTTGCAAACCGGTCGTCATTGAGCGGCTTGTACCCGTGACCCAGACCCGGTTCCTTGGGCGGAGCGGCCGATGCTGCTGGGAAGGCCAGCCGATGGCCGCTATCCATCAGTGAATCTTCTTAAACCATTGCATTTGTTCCGATGGCTCACTGATCGCAGAGTCGTATCGATTCCACCGTTCTTGAACCAACAATGTCGAACTTTGTCAACAATGTCATCGTTGCTTTCGACACTCCCGCGTGCGAGCGCCGTGTAATGCGGTCTTCAGCAGGACCAGCTCTAAGTCAGCGGGCCGTGCGGCAGATTCGATCAGTGAGCCCTCCCGCTGCTGGGCCCGGCTCGCCGGCTGGTCGATGGGTGGCGTCATCAGTCACAGCTGTGTCGTCGGTCGTGCGCGGGCTCTGCCTGTGGGTGTGAAAACATAGAGGAAGCGAGCAGCCATGTGACAGCGGGTGCACCGCCGGACAATAACAACAGGAGAGACGCCGACGTTTCATTAAGATTCCGTGGCGCGTGAAAAACGCGCGCCTCGTGGTCCTGCAGTGGCTTATTGCATTTTTCGTAGCATTAAACCAAAAAGGCCAATGCACGCCGAGGTGTGAAGTAGGCCAGCTCACAATGCGCAGCACACCCTGTCAATCGATGTGCTTTAACTAACAAAGGAACAGGTAGTCTAAATTCTGCAGTACTCAACAAATGTTGCAGACTCTTTGCACCAAAAAAGTGGTTACAGTCATCCTAGGTACAATTATCTAAATGCTGTGACCTTGGACCCGACATGTAACGTCATCCATCAACGACAGGCTAACGGATTGGTATGTGCCGAGGTCGCACGATCCAGGGATATCTCTGGCCTTTTAGATCAGCCAGATTGGGCCATTTTTTCAACACTGGTTTCAAAGATCCCCAGGGTGGGCGGTGGGGAGGTTAAATGTCCGGGCCAACAAATGGAAGGTGGTGAATGTGCCACCAAATGGCATTCCTGTATGGTTCACTCAGTGTGTCGTGCCACATTTCGGTGGGCAGGAAAGCCTTCACAAATGCAACTTCCTGCCTGCTGACATTTAATGTGGCCGAACCATATTTCGATTCATTTGCATTGTTAATCCAATCCGGGAAGTGTTCATTAGTTTTCCGAGGCGTTCGGGCCAACATTGGCGTGCAACAAACTAGCGGGATGCGTCGGCGGTGAGGGCAGAGGTAATCATAATGGCTTGTAAATGAATCTATGCGCGTTAAAGCGGTTTTATAAGCTTTTTAGCTCGGTGAAAGTTTTTGCAAGTGTGTGTCCCTGCTGGAATCATCACTAACGAGTTCGTCTTCTGTGATCGCCGCGGTTCAGCATAGTTCGTGCAGTCGGCAATTTGTTTCTTTTCCGCTCCCCCAGCTAGAAGACCGCTGCGCTTCGCCCTGATCAACCCCACGGCACTCCAGTACATTGGTAGGCGGCATCGCCATTAGTCGCACCGTTCAGCGGCGATGACAGGTAGCAATAAATTTGAACTGGAATCAAGCTGGTGCCCGTATTCCCAGACGCGTCCTTATCGATTCATACAGTCTGATGCTTGTTGAGAATATGATGGCATAGTCCATAGCGTGGCAAGCATCAATTTTGGCTTGGCGTCCACGCTCATGGCACACATATGTCGGCTCTCTGTCTGGCTTCTGGTATGCGCAGGCATATGTAGTGCATATGGAAGATGGAGAAGCTTCTTCTGCTCTGGCCAACAGCATTCCAGAATAATACTGCGCCTGTCTCAGGTATAAAATGGCCTACTCTTGAAGCGTGCTCATGTATCCACTTATTAACTCTTCACGCCAGCGTCTATTGGACTGGTACGTTACTTGGTTCCGCCGCACTCCATGGGCACCTAGGTGTCAAATACACGTAAATAAGAATAAACTGGGAGTGAAACTCGTCACGATTCGTCCGGTCTATCAAAATAGCTGGTACGCTTTACTCTGGCAGCGCATTTTTTCTCGTTATTTTCTATCCGGCTGGTCATGTTTATGTATTTGAGCCCACGGGAACGAACCATTAAGTGCTGTAAACATGAAATGACAAATATGTATATAATGATGAAATTAGAAAGAAATGCACTCCCGGAATAAATCTTTGCGGTTATTTCGATAGCCCTGACTACAAACCACCGTACTACTTGTTTTTTTTTTCAACCATTTCATATTTGGTACCAAATTAAGTCCCGGTCCAATACGGCTTACGTGAAAAGGGCTGATATGTCCCGATCCCTTTTGACCCAAAAAGTAGTGACGCCATTCCACGTGCGCTGCGTCGCTGAACATTGCTGGTCACGCGGCCTGATAGTTGTGTTGTTTTCCATATTAACGTGCGACGATGCGTAAGAGCGCGGGCAGAGACCGACGCCGTGGAGCCGCTGGCTGGGCACAGCGGCGGCGTCCGTCTCGAACACCCGGCGGCCAGCGCCGCGGTCGGCCTTAAGCTCGGGTTTCCGTGGCAAGTCCGGTGTCTTGCCCGCAGGGCCTTGGTGCCAACCTGCGGCTGCCAGTGTTACAGGCTGCACGGATTGCTGGATAGGGTTTCCTGACGGCGATCCAAACGTTCCGTGTATTTTTTCCCCGTCGTTCTGCCTGGTGTAGTGTAGATGGCATGTCACTCTGCTTGAAAGCATACATTTGAATTTCGGAGCACTTTTCCGTGCACACGAATAACGTTCACCTAATCTTCGCATGGTTTGGGCTGCTTGTATTGTTTTTTTCCTACCTCTGATTAAGTGCTTAACCTTTGTGAAAAACAACGTTTCATATGGGTGGCGCATTCTGAGTAATTGCCTCGCTGGCAACATTATGCAGTACGTTTGGCTGGAAGCAGGCGGCGCTGGATGGCCCCAAGAGGAAAGAGCAGCGCGGAGGTTTATCTCGCCCCGCACCCCGCGAAGCTGCTGAACTTTGGACGCGCGACTCAGCAACGGGCGGGCACGATCACGGCACTCGCTGAGTGTGCGGAACACGGTTAGAAATGGCTGCTCAAAGTGTGCCGATGTGGCCGCTCAGATATTAAAGTTTGGGAAAAAGCTTTGTAGAGTCGCCGTGGGATGGCGAACGGCGCTTGTCGGGCTCAGTGTGAACCACGTTGAGGCCATTTCCGTTTAGTTTTGCAGAAGTGTGTTACCAAATTATGTCAGTGGAATGCCGCTGCGAGTCGGCGCATGTGGGACGTGAAGGTTAGTCCCAGCGTTCCCTAGCGAGCATGCCAAACGGGCTGTTTGGAGCATTGCCATCAAGCCCAGTATGCCGGGAAGCCTCGCCCTTTAAATGCGTCGGGCGCCCGCATGTCGCGTTCAGGAAGCGGCCGTCCGATACGACGCGCCGGCAGACGAGTAGCATTATCATTCCAGGCAGTCTGAACCGCTCGCCATTCACGGCCGGCGTTGTCATTTCCAGGAATGCCGTTTTTGCGGCTATTCATCTGCCGGGCGCCGCACTCGTCGGCTTTCAGGCTAACGTGATCAAGGGGCGCTGAGGATCGGACGAGCGGGCGCGTCTTTTGTCCGCCGTTCGCCGAGCTTCAGACTTGATCAATACGGGCACGACCGTGGACTATCAGCTGCTCAGCCACCGGGCGAAACACTCACCGGGCGGGCGTCGGCGCCGCCGCGCCGCTCCGGCCCCACACACGCGCGCACTGCGAGTTGACCGGCGCTCGTGACAGGCTGCGAGTCGAACTACGCCGCCGCAACTTGGGCCACTAAATCACTCGGCTGACGGCTGGCTGTGTCACAGCCGAACCGAACTCTGATGCGTTTGAAGCTAACTGTGCAATAATTACGACGCGTCAAGCTGCTCGGGTCGTTAGGCCGGCGTAGTTCACGGCCGTCGGTCGCGGGCGAGCAGCGCCGCCCGGTTGCTCCCTGGCTCGAACCGAACAATGCTCAATCCCGCTCAAGCACTGGATCAGCCCGGCCGCTGAATCGGCTCGGCTTTGATGGCGTACAAGTGTGCCCCCCCCCCCCCCCTTCCCCTTGTCTGCCGTCGATGTCCGGCCGTCCCGCACTCATTACATCAAAGACAGACGAGCCCTGCGCCCTGAGGACACTGCCGCGTTCAATCCCTGGGCGTGCGACGGTTTGGAAGCGGCCGAGACATAATGCCCGCTTGCCGGGTCCACCGTCACGCTTGCGGTAGATTTGTAGCGCCGCCAGCGGCGCGGCTGGGCGAGCGGTAGGTCAGGATGCGCGGCACGCCAGTCTGGAGTGACCCCGGCCGCCCTGAACAGCCGCCGTTCCCGGATATTAACGGAGGGCCCCGGCGACAGTGGGTGGCTTCAGGGGCAGATGAGCGACGGCCGTGTTGCGGCTCGGCAGGCCGGAACTCTTCCGCTCCAGGCACGACGAGAAGGTAGCCTTGGGGTGCCTCTCGGCTGGAGAGCACTTGTGCCTTTGAATAGCGTGATCGGGAAGCCGAAATCGCGGTACGGCACATAAACATAGCGCCCCAGTACTGACGACTGATATGATGTTGCCGCTGGGGACTTTTAGGGCGTCTGACGTCGCTGCCGTGTCCCACAGGAGGAGCTGGAAGAGCGGCCACGCGTGGTGTCACTGGTCCACTCGCTGGCCAACTACAACGCCATCATCCCGTCGGCCAACGACCATGACCAGAAGCCGGTGCGGCGACAGACCAAGCTCGGTGAGTGCGACCACGCAGACGCCGGCGGGCGGCGGGGCGGCACGTCGAGCTCACGTGAGTGAGCTGCCGAGATCGCTGTTGGTATAGCCACGCCATGAAACGTGAGGCGTCTTCTGACGGTCGAAGCACGTACGACGCGCTTCTGATGTGCGCTCCAGTTCACTGACCGCCGTCGGAAGATTGTGTGCCGCTCAGCGCCGTTGTTTGGCTTTGCGTGCGCGGATCTCCGGGTTATCTGTTGGCGGACGACTGCCGGGCGTGATCGCCGCCCGCAGTGGGCGACAACTGTGTCGGTGATGGAACTGCCGCTCCGCTCGTAAAACCAGCAACGGCGCCCAATTCGAAGTCTCAAGTTTTGCCCGCTCTCCGCGCCGCGTATAAACAGATGAAACGACCCAAGTTCTGCCGCCGAGCGCGACCGAAATCGGACGATTGGTTGCCGGTCCGGCATCTCCCGCTGCCGGCGGCGCGTCGGACCGCAGCTGATGTTGCCTCGAACTGTGGGCGCGCCTCCGCCGGTCGTCCGCCGGTCGGGGCGGCCCGTCGGGTCATCGGCGGGCCGTGTGGCGCGCGTCGGCGGCGCCCGTCTCTGAGATGCCGCCGGGAATTGGCCGGGTCGGCCCACCAGCGGCCGTCAGCCCGCTCTACGATGTGCTCCGCGACCCGCGCTCCGACCCATCTCGTAGCTGTTGCATAACAGGGCGTCGAGTGGGCTGCGGGCCGCTCCCGGCGGCGGCCGGATGGTCGCACGCTCCCGGTCCGGATCGCCGTCGCACGTGTCGAGGGTCGCCGCAGATCCCTGGGGAACAGGACCGTGGTGACGCCGTCGATAAGGACCGCGTGACACCGAGCGGCGCATAGGGTGCACGGGGGTTGGCGATGCGCCTCCCCAACGCCTCGAAGCACGTGGTTAGATTGTGTACTGACGCATCAAATTGCATCGGTCATGAAGTGTGAAATCCCAGCCAGCGGTCATGGCCACAGCACCAGTGATGTGCGCAGTGTTGGTCCGTAACCAGAATTTCACAGTTGCCGATTCGGAGCGCTGTTCACAGCGGCTCGTGCGTCTCGAAGGCATTGTGTTAGGGTGCGCGCGACGTACCACTTTGTTGTCTGGTTTGTCTCATGTAGCTTGATTTAGAGGCTGCCTTTTTAGAGCCGCCTCTGTCGGTGATCAGATTTCTCGACCTCCTAGCGTTTTTGCCGATCACGTTATCGTCCAGTTTGGGGCGAAATTATAACACGGGTATGTGACGGGACGTCTGTAATTGCTTGTGACTTTCAGGCGGCATTTTCCTGCATTTTGCAAAACATTGGAGCTGGAACAGGACTAATCTGTGCTATCTCCACCCGGTTTCACTTCTTCTTTCTCTGGAGAAATCAAACAGCACCGGGCGGTTTTTGCAACCGAGTTGTTTTATTCGGCGTAACTGGCGGGCCACTGGCTGCAGACACAAAAGAGACGCTCGGGAGACGTTTGTCTTTTCAGCATCAAATTGTCATCTTCTCCGCTGCCCCCCAGGCGCGCCGCCATCTTGTCTGGCTAACGCCCGCCTGTGGAAATGGAAATGGCAGAGCCAACAGTGGCCGGGAAGCTATGGGTGATGTTAGTCAAATGCGATTGTCATGCTGTCAGCTAGAGGAGCAAAACTGAAACGACACCGTATTGAATTTGCATGGCTGAATGTCAGCTTTGCCGGCCGCCAACTACTTCGACAGTGGCGGTGGCCGTTATTTGACGTTATTGGGCCAGAGCATTCCCACGCGAGTTTTGAGAGATGCGGTTTGTGGTGGAGAGACGCGGCTCCAGACACGGGGCGTGGTTGTATGCTATGTTACCTTATTTTTCCTTGACGTCCTTTGACGTGCTGTTGTTGCGATCGCGGAAGTCTTGGTGGTACGTTCATATTGTTCAGATCATATTGATGTTATTATTTTATTGCTCCTACCCTTTCTGCGCTTTGTTTGCAGTAGATTGGTACAGGTTGCAGGGAAGAGAAAGAGAGAGAGAGAGGGAGAGAGAGAGAGAGAGAGAGAGAGAGAGAGAGAGAGAGAGAGAGAGAGAGAGAGAGAGAGAGAGAGAGAGATATATATATATATATATATATTCATGCATATATGCGTATACACATACATACATACATACTACACACATGCATACATGCATACACGCATGCATACATACATACATGCATACACACATCCATATTCGCGAAATACGCTCTCAATAAGATCATTAGTGACATGTTGATGTCCAGAGATTCCCTGAGAAGGCTTTTTTTGTTTGTTTGTTCTTTTTTTTTTGCTCCTAGCTCTTTATGTCCAGAGTTCACCTGTGTGGGACATTTTAATACACCTGTAATCATTTGATTGGGCCGTAAGCACTTCAGCCTAGTGTTGGATCCCTAATCACATTAGAATTGTCCCAGCCGGATTGTGGTCTCGGAAGTGTGATGCTCTCGCAATGTGAGACGAAAAAGGTCTCTGAAGACTGCGTATCGGTCACGCACTGGAGACCCATGGCTGCCTGTTGTATGGGGCCAATGGGGCTCTGTCCCACGATGTGGCGCGTTTCTTACTGTCCAGGTGATCGATTTGTGCTCACATTGTTTGAAGGATGACAACGTCACTTTAGACCACGTGCGTCGTTTGTGCCGTTGTGTGATGAAGTTGATGACTTCAGTTTGCTCAGAGCGAAAGTTATTTTGTCCCTTGAGGACAGTGACTTTTAGAATATTTGCGCACCTCACTAATGTAGAAAGTAGCGTTATGGTCGCAAAGTGGCCACTTCAGTCGGCACGCCATAAAACACCAGATAAAACACATCATCATTGCGCTCAGCAGTGACTTATCGCGTTACATGACGTCGCATTGTTTCGAATTTTGCTCGGCGACGCGGTTATTGCAGACCGTGAGCAAGGCTGTGGCCGCTCGCCATCTGTATCAGCAGTGTGATTGGTCCATTTGTGACTTTCAGCCCAATTTGTGCTTGCCCAGGGTGGAAATGAAGCGCATACCTTAGTGGCCGGCCGCTGATGCTTGGCATAGTGATCCACGAGCATGTATTTCCGACGGATGCCGGGTACTAGGGTGCCGCTATTGCTCGGCTTGAATTGGTGTCTTTCACTGTCGGACACTCTGAGGATGGGGAAAGCCAGCTCGCCTGATGCTTGGCTAGATTAGTCGCCGTGTTATGCGCCGAACAATGTATGCCTGTTGCTGATGAGATATGGTGGAATGTCCGGGGTGGTACCGTGGCGGAGCGGCGTCGCTCAGGACACACTCGCCGCCGCCCACTCCGGCGGTGCTGAGGGCACGCTCGCCGCCGCCCACTCCGGCGGTGCCGAGGGCACGCTCGCCGCCACCCACTCCGGCGGTGCTGCGGGCACGCTCGCCGCCGCCCACTCCGGCGGTGCCGAGGGCACGCTCGCTGCCACCCACTCCGGCGGTGCTGCGGGCACGCTCGCCGCCGCCCACTCCGGCGGTGCCGAGGGCACGCTCGCTGCCGCTCGCTCCGGCGGTGCCGAGGGCACGCTCGCCACCGCCCACTCCGGCGGTGCTGAGGGCACGCTCGCCGCCGCCCACTCCGGCGGTGCTGAGGGCACGCTCGCCGCCGCCCACTCCGGCGGTGCTGAGGGCACGCTCGCCGCCGCCCACTCCGAGACTGTGCCACGGGCATCCTTCCCGCCGCCCACTCCGGCGGTGTCGCGGGCACGCTCGCCGCCGCCCAGTCCGGGACGGTGCCGCTGGCACGCTCGCTGCCGCCCAGTCCAGGACGGTGCCGCGCGCGAGCGTGACGGCGCCGCCCGTCTTGCAGTCTGGCCTGCTCTAAGAGGCTGGCAGCACGGCCCAGCTTAGCACCGACACCGGTGGAGTTATCTCACCGAGTAGAGCCAGCCCGGTCGCCGGGCGGCATTTTTAATTATGGAAATGTGTGATGCCTTTTGTCTTCCTCGCGCTATTTTCGCCCAGCGTTGATTTCAGCTGCGGCGGAAGTCAACGCCTGAGAGGCGTGCAGATGTTCCTAGGAACAGGGCCAAGTTCTTGAGATTGGAAAGTAATGCGACGAGATATACTGGGCCGCTGTCTTAATGCGCCGTATTCTGCGATGCGCTCACTTTTCGGATTCCTTTCCAAATTCGTTTATGAGAGCGCATTAGGCTCGCCAAAGTAACGGGTTCGGCGTATACTGAACGCGGATTCCTGCGTTGACTAACGTTATCCCGCTACACGAATTTTTCCTGTGCATCATTTGCGTATATCAGCTCATTATTCATTATCGCCCTCAAATATTTCGTCGGGTCTTTTATTATTTGCCGTGCCATCATGAATTATGGCCCAGCTTGTTTCCGTGGTTTGTCATCGACAGCAGGAGTTATTGTCTCGAGTTCATCGGGGTTTCAGCCGCCCCTGGCGTGCTGCCACTGTCCGTGCTGCGCGTCGCCGCCGATGCTGGGCCGCACCTCACGCGGCGCCCGTCCCCTTTCAGGCACGATGCTGGGCGTCTTTCTTCCATGCATTCAGAACATATTCGGCGTCATACTGTTCATCCGGCTGACGTGGATCGTGGGCACGGCCGGCGCCCTGGAGAGCTTCATGGTGGTGCTCATGTGCTGCTGTGTGGTGAGTAGTGTGCCTCTCCGTGGGCTGCTGCGTGATGTAATGAAGATGAACGTGATGTAATGTAATGAACCTCCTGTGCTGCTGTGTGGGAACGGTCTCCCTCTGTGTGTTGCTGTGTGGTAAACGGTCCCACTCTGTGTGTTGCTGTGTGGTGATCAGTCCCCCTCTGTGTGCTGCTGTGTGGTGGACGGTCCCTCTCTATGTACTGTTGTGTGGTGAATGGTTCCCCTCTGTGTGTTGCTGTGTGATGAACGTCCCCTCTCTGTGTACTGCGTGTGGTGAACGGTCCACCTCTGTGTGCTGCCGTGTTGTGAACGGTCCCCCTCTGTGTGCTGTGTGGTGAACGGTCTGCCTCTGTGTGTCGCCGCTTGGTGGATGGCCTATCGCTGCGCGACGCCTCCGTCCCCTGTTGCGTCCTTCCCTCACCCACGACTGAACAGAGGGGATCCACGTCCCCCCAGCACCGGTCGCGCCGGTGTCAGCACGGCCCGCAGCCGGGCAGTGCGACGCACGGATCGCCGGTGTTGGTGCCTTTCTCCGGGCTTTTACTGGCCCGCCTTCTAGTTGGTGCTTTCCCCGGGCTTTTGCAGGCCTGCCTCGGAAATTGCTAGTGGATTAGACTGCTGGGATCCGTAGGCTCTGTGGCTGTTAAGTGAATTTTGGTTGGATAAATTTTGTTATCCTGTTTTTGTCTGAATGCTGGAGGACAGGAGACCGTGGGGAAACGGATGAGTTTTGGACGCAGAAACCAGGGGGTGCGATGGCCGAGCGGTTACCGCGTTGGACTCTCAAATAAGGCCGCGGGCTCGAAACCCCTTTTCGCCATGGTTCCCGTGCGGCAGTATGATCGTTGCAGTCGCTTGCGCCTCATGGAAGAGATTTGACGAAGTGCGTCACACTACCCCTTTTCAAATAGAACGCTTCAGAAGGGCGCATTGACCCGGCTTATGCCATCATAGAGGCGTTTCTCTCATCAAAAAGACGCAGTGACCCGCATGCTATGCCATTGCAGAGGCATTTGCCCTCATCAAAAAGATGCAGTGACCCGGCAGCTGCGCCATTGCAGAGGCATTTGTCCTCATCCAGGTAATGGTTTGTTTGTCCCGCCTGCTAGGCGTGAAGTCTACACCTTGTTTTTTCGTGGTCTGGAGGCAGCGTGCCGACGGGAATCTTACGCGGCTCTGAGGTGGCGGTGTGGAAAGTTCTCTGTCCACAGCAGGATTGCTCTATACATTACGCAGAGCGCGGGCGTGCTGTAAGGTAGGAATTGTTGTCGGAATTGAATTGTCGGAATTGCAACCTCGGAATTGTTTTAGACTCTGGACTGAGCGGGGATGTGCTGCTTGGTTTCCGTCCCTGCAGTTCAGCTGATGCAGCGACAGAGAATGACGCGTGTCCTTCATCCGCCTCCCGTAGCTCAGCTGGTAGACGGTCGGACAGCTGACAGCTTTGTGGCAGACATGTGGATTCGCGTCCCAAAAGCCGCGCTCATCCCTCCATCATGATCCCTTTATGACAGCCAATTGGTAGCGGACCGTGTGACCCGCGCTGACCCGGGGCGGCCCAGTCATGGGTCAGGTGGGGACTTTTGGTAATATGTCCGTTGAACTGAAATTGATGTGCTAGGTTGGTGGCGTCAAGTGTCGTTGCAGTAGTCTCCGCGCGTCGAAGACGCCAAGTCACAAAGACGAGGTCCAATTTGTTGGTTTATCTTTAATGGTCTTGTAGTGCGAATTATTGGTCGAGAAGTAGTAAGACAAGTAGCATTTTATCATGGATAGAATGTTCATGATAAGCACCATTCGGTACAGCGCATACCTTCCGTAGATCAAACTGGTCTGGTGAGGGTGGTCGGCGGTGTTTCGTAGCACAGCCATATGTATGTACTGCATTGCAAGAAATGGCGAACAAGAGGCGACTGGTGTCGGGCCTGGGCCGTCTAATTGGTCTGCCTGGCGGCTGCCCGCCGTTATCCAGTTCAGCGGTTACCAAAATTCCGAGGCCATTGTGACAAATGAACGTCGCCTGCTCTGACAGCTTTCAACTAATGGCCGCTGATATTTCTGCTGTGTTAAGCGGTTAATGGAGTTGTCGAGCCAGTTCAGTGACCTTTCGCCCCGTATGCGGGCGGGGCCTTCGATTTTTTCGGTGGTCTTGTTCTGGAGCCGCCCGCCGCTTACCATCGCTGCCTCCCCTACCCGCAAGATTTCCACCAGACTGGACGACCTGGACGGTCCCGTTGCATTATCATCGCGTGCTCGCCGTTGAGTAACATTGTTTGCTTGCCCCCGTGTAACATGTTCTGAGAATTAATGATTTTGTTTTTGACGAAATTGTGTGAACGGCGGGATGATTGATGAGGTGCGGATGCGGTCGCGGTTTACCATGTTGTAATATTGCGCCCTTTCTGCTATTGTAATTGTGCCGAATCAAACACTAAGCCACTTGTTGAAATGATTCATTAATGAAATGAACTTAAACTTGTACTGCAAATTTTCCCCGTGGTTACGCCCCATTACTCACAAAGCGTGTGTGGTTTGATCCCTGTCAAGACTCCACAGGACTTGAAATGTGAAAAGTAGTAAAACCAACTGTGGGCCAGAACGAACTGGGCTCCACAAGCCTCCAGGCACTGATATGTTTTATGTATGTATGAATTGCGTATATATTTTGCGTATGTATATTATATATATATATATATATATATATATATATATATGTATATGTACAATATGTTATGCATACACTGTGTATACACTGGTTACAAGGTGAGGACGTGTAAAATCTGCTTACACTCATCCCGGATATGCCTCATGCTAGGGCCTCAAGCTGTTTGAGTCTGCTGCCATGAGCTCATTGTTTCGTGAGCTGATTGCTATTCTATTCCGGTGTTCCTCACTGTTAATACCTGGTATGTTCGTGCTGAAATTATTGTATTACAAGTAATGCCAATCCGCTGGAGCGTGGAACAGATAGTTGCGGACTTTCATTATAAACGCATTATAGGATTGCTAGCTGTTCCCAGACTCACTACATTTTCTGTTTGTCGGCGCGGATAATTGCCGAACGTGTCTCCCAAGCGCGAGATAGGAGCGTCGGAAATCGTCCCGGACACTACATTTGTTTTCTTCTATCTGAATGAGACTAATGACCGGATGGTAGTGGATTAAATCTTTTCGTATTTCCTCCCAAGCGCGTTCTCACAGCACCGGAGATGGCCTACGGCCTACAGATTCGCTTGTAAGCATTTTCCTTTTTCTAGCGATAAAGGTGTCCAATTAGTCCCGACGCAACGTGCATGCGACGTGTAAATAGCTGGGCCATGTAATGGACACAGCCCGCTGTGTGCCGTGCGTCACTGGAGGTGCGGCAGCCATTTGTCAGGGGTGCCGGCGCTGGGCGGCAGTGATTCGGCGGCCGCTGCCCGGCCCGGCCGGCCGGTGATCAATGGGGGCCTGGTGGACCACCGGCCGGCGTCGGCTGGGCGACCCGCCGCCGTCGGCGCTGGGAGCTCTGCTGCCGGTAGCGTCCAGAGCTGCTATTGTCCGCGTCCGGAGCTGCTGTGTTTCGCGTCCGGAGCTGCTGTTGTCCGCGTCCGGAGCTGCTGCTGTCCGCGTCCGGAGCTGCTGTTGTCCGCGTCCGGAGCTGCCGTTGCCCGCGTCCGGAGCTGCTGTTGTCCGCGTCCATAGCTGCTGTTGTCCGCGTCCGGAGCTGCCGTTGCCCGCGTCCGGAGCTGCTGTTGTCCGCTTCCGGAGCTGCCGCTGTCCGCGTCCGGAGCTGCCGTTGCCCGCGTCCAGAGCTGCCGTTGTCCGCGTCCGGAGCTGCTGTTGTCCGCGCTCGGAGCTGCTGTCGGACGTTCGGAGCTGCTCCTGTCGTGTGCGTGCTGCGTGGTGCTGCGTGCAGCGTGTGCGTGCTGCTTGGTAGTCTCGGGCGTGCCACCGGTGTGCGCTGTGCGTCAGCTTCCGTCTGCGACACCCCAGTTCCGGTGTCGCCCAGCCCCAGGCTTCCGCCCGCTGGAGCCCTGGCTGTGACCCGCCCTGTGTCGGCTCCCAGTGTGCACCTGTTTTCCCCGCGTGGCACCGCGAGTCCTGCCGGGCCCGCTCTCTGCGGCGCGCGGCAGTCGTTTGTCGGCCGGTGGCGTCCGTCGCCAGCGTGTTTGGCCGCTGCGTGTAGGCTGTCCGCTTGCGTGCTCTACACATGTGACGCCTCCGCCTTGGCCGCCGCTGCAGACGCTGCTCACGTCGATCTCGATGTCGGCCATCGCCACGAACGGAGTGGTGCCCGGCGGCGGCTCCTACTTCATGATCTCGCGCGCGCTCGGGCCCGAGTTCGGCGGCGCCGTCGGCATCCTCTTCTACCTGGGCACCACCTTCGCCTCAGCTATGTACATCATCGGCGCCATCGAGATTCTACTGGTAAGTGGTAGTCTACTGGTACTAGTGGCAGCCTACTCATACCGGTAGTCTACTGGTAAGTGGTAGCCTGTCGGTGGCTGTGTCTGATGAGAACGTTCGCTGAGTTACCTGGGCCGAACACCGTGTCTGACGAGAACTCCAACTGGGGCCTGCAACTGGCCGGTGTAGTTGCGGCGGTTGATCAGAAAAAGCTTGTCTGACCGCTGTGCAGTTTGTTCAGCATCGGCGCGGAAGCAGCGCGCTGCCCCGTTGTGCTGTTCAGTGCGGGGCGACAGCTTGCAGTGCGTACCACGGCTTGCGGCCCCCGGCTGTAACTCGCCCGCGATGAACCTCCTGTTGGGTGGCGGGGCGCGCTGCCGCCAGAGGGAGCGTGCCGGGCCGCGTCCGCTGCCTCGCGCCGGAGCCGGCAAGGCGCCGTCTCACCAGCGTTCTGCGTCGCTCGGCAGCTGTACATCGAGCCGCGCATGGCCATCAGCGACATATCAGACGACGCCAACAAGTTCGACAACTTCCGACTGTACGGCACCATCCTGCTGCTCATCATGGCCACCATCGTGTTCGTGGGCGTCAAGTTCGTCAACATCTTCGCCACCATCGCGCTGGTCTGCGTGCTCGGCAGCATCCTCTCCGTCTACGTCGGCATGTTCGTCAACGTGCACGGATCGGACGCGCTCATGTGAGTTTGCGCGAGCTGCAGCGACCGGCGCGGCCGCTGGTCGCGCCCGGTCATCAGACATGGTCGGCGCCGAGCGGCGCTCCGTGGCTGTGCTCCGGACGCCTGGACTAGTTCGATGCTTTTCCAGTTTGGGCGCGCTTGTTGTCGATATTGATTGTTTTATGTGAGGTCCGTGGCAAATGAATGCGGTCTGCTTGGTCGGTGGGCCCGTCCCGAATAAGCTTGACGACATGCTCGGGCTGAATTGGAAACGTGCCTCATGTCGATCATGGCCTCGGTGAACTCGGTTGCAAGCGATGGGCCGCATTGCCTGTACGTTAAGCCGAGGAACAATTCCATTACGTGGTTGTTTTGGAGCGCTTTGTCATATTTCACTACTTTACGGCTCGGTTTGTCAGGAGATGATGCGCTTTTTCCTGAGATTAAATTAATCCTGGCTTTTTATTTGGAAATAAATCCGAACACTACCAGATATATACCACTGCTTATGAAACTCGCTATCTTGGTGCTTGTCACCGCCAGAACGTAGACAGGCTTTATGGAAATCGTGTGTTTTTATGGAAAAGCCCGTACAATCCGTTTGAGCCTCCCTCCAGCTCTTGAAATACTGCGAAAAGTCGGAGCCACGTTTTAAAATAATGTAAAGATATTCCGTGTTTCCAACTGCCTCCATAAAGCCCCATTAACGATACGGCAAGTAAGTATGCCTTGACTTGGCGATGTGTTGGCTTCAGGATTGGCGTGTAGAACCGTCAGATGATATCAGAATAGCTTGAAAATTGCGCGGCCCTTGGCCGTGACGATTGCTTTTCGACCAAGCCAGACCGGGCAGGATCTGAAAGCTGTACCGCAGCGACGACCGCGCCGATATTTTGTCGAGGCTGTCCTATCCTCGTCAGGCGGGCACGCAGCTCTCCCAGGTCCTTGCGGCGCAGGCGCATCAATCGCTTATCGTGCATCCGACGTCAGCCGTCCATGGGTCGGTAGTTTTTGCCACTGTCTAGACGCTCTCCTTAGCAGATGGGATGGCTCCTCATGCCTTGTGATCATTCCGTCTACAGCCAGCTCGATAGTCCGGGTCCAAACCTGTCGATTTGATTTGTGCCGGTCTTATATAATGTTTTATCTGTCATTTAGCTCCGCGATGGAATATCCTTTTAAGGTTCTCATATTTCAAGTCTCATTTCCGTTATGTGCCAATAGATCGCCAGTCTCGCTCGCGTATTTGATCTGGATCTTCGGGGAGCAGTAAGCCTTTCCAGCAGCGAGAAAATGCGTGTCTAGCTTTCTCGTCGGTACAGTATGGTCTTTAATCCGATTGCCACACTGAAAAAGTGCCGGTCTGAGAAATAGTCGGTAAACTGCGTCCCGGGAGGCAGCAGCAAAGCAGCTCGCTGAGATCTGCTCAGTGCTGGTGCGATGGTTCGGAAAATAACGGCCAGCGGAGATTAGTGGTGAGCATCATGAACTCTATCCCTGGAGCTTGTTGGGTTGTATAGCTGTGAATTTGAGCGCGTAATCGTTGTGGTTCAGGAGGAATGGTCATGCCAGAGCTTCATTGAACTACGCCGTACTGGGCTGATTTGTCTGCGTTGTGGATCATTATGATATATATATATATATATATATATACATGCATCCTCACCACATGGTCTTGGTGTTTTGAATCATGACAACGTCAGCTGGTGTGCTTTCGCCTCAGGGTTTGTGCAATCAGCCATTAAGGTCTTGAATGGATGTGTTCGTATCGATGTGCTCAAACTGGTTGTGTATATCATACGGGGATTTCGCTTGCGCTTAGTGAGAGTCAGCTGCTGGCTTATGTATGGTGTTTTTGTCCCGACGCACCTCCGGGCATCCTCGCGGTATTTGAGAAACGCGTGCCGACCAGTCAACGGCCGGCTGACTTAACTGACCCTCCCCCCTCCCCCCGGGCAGGACGTGTCGACTGGGCGAGCGACTCTTGAAGGAGGACCCGGTGAACAAGTCGGCGTCCGCCTGCACACCGGAGCACCTGTGGCCCACGTTCTGCAAGTCGCCGCTCGACCTGCACAACCGCACCGGCTGCTACTACTACTTCGCCGACCACTTCAACGAGACCTACTACGAGCGCGGCATCGCCGGCATCGCCAGCAGCTCCTTTCAGAGTGAGCGGCGGCGGAGGCGGGCGCTGCGAGTAGGCGGAGGGACGGACTCCGGGGACTCGAGCAGGCGTGGGGCGGGGCCGGTGGGCCGTGAGCTCGCGAGGCGTGTGTGGAGTGGGGACCGGGCGTCGAAGTGACGTCCTCGGTGGATGGCTGTCTGATCGGTGCCCACGCTGGCCTCGGGTCCCGCTGGGGCGGCCAGTCAGCGTCTGTGTGACCGGGACCAGGCGGCGGCGAGTGGCTGGTGCGCGCTGCGAATGGCTTTGCCGCGTGCAGTGGGCGACGGGCGGCGGGAAGGCCTGGGGCGGCGGACGTAGTTCCCGCCCCGGGTGAGGCGGGGAGCGCGGGAATTGCTGAGTGAGGACTCGTGCTGCGGTGGTGCTCGCGTCAAAAGTTGTCTGGACCGCTGTCGAGTGCGGGACGGCACTGTCTGCAGTACCGAGAATCGATGTGGCTTCCAAGTCGAACGCTTCCGGCGGCTTCACTGTCATGTTCCCGAAATGGCCCGGGGTGTTGAGTGTCTCGTCCCCGGCCCGCTGTCGGCTGTCAAGTATGTCACATCGGCCCGGGCGTCGTTCCAATTGAGCAGCCGTCGCCAGCAGTCCCGGTCGCTCAAGCTCCCTTCGAAGTACACCGCTGACCATGGCTCGCCCCTCGCCGCAGAGAACTTGTACTCGCGCTACCCTCGGAAGAACAACTACGTTACGGAGAACGGCAGCTCGGTGGCGGCCAAGAACCTGGGCATGGGCGAGTACAACCAGATCATGGCTGACATCACCACGTCCTTCACCGTTCTCATCGGCATCTTCTTCCCCTCAGTCACCGGTGAGTTGGCTTGCGGCCTGAGTCTTCAATTCGGCACTGGCGGCGCGCTGGCCATTGAGATCGCTTCCTCCCCAAAGCACCGACGGCCGGTCGATCGTGGGTTGCGCCCGTTGACAGGCGCTGTCCGCGGCTGGGCCGCTGATCCATGCGTCGCCAGCGTAGCTACGCCCGTCGCCAGGCGATCCAGGGGCGGGGCCGGAACTGGAGCTGAACCCGTCCAGTGGACGAGAATGCACGCGTCACTATGCACATGGGAATGGGCGAGTGTTTGCTCACATGTCTGAGCCGTCGGAAGCGCTGGGGGAGTGGCGCGCGTCACCTGGACGCTTCGGGCTAGATGGGGATCGGTTGCCAGGCCGGTGGCGTTTATGCTCGCCGCCGGTAGCCGGGGCGATCGGTGCTGGTAAGGCCAGGCTTCCTAGCCTTACACGTCCGAGGCCAGTGCCCAGCTCGTGCTGGCCGTCACTTGTTCTTCGTTCTGAATAGCTTGCGTGGTGGTGCAGATTACTGTGTGCAGGCTCGGGGTGCGTTGGGAGCGGGAGTCGCTGCTCGCACCCTGGATCCGTCATCCAGCTACCGCCGCTATGCTATTTCAGTGTGTCTTAGTTGCCTTATGAAGAAATTCCATCGAGGCTGAAATGTTTTCATCAGACCCCCGAAAGAGGCTAGGATCAGGGGAATTCCATTGATCCATGAATGAAAGACGGAAACTACGAAAAGTCCTAAACTGAGGGCCCGAAATCGTACGTAAAAGTTTTCATTTTCTATCCGAAGTCCCAAATTTGGAAAACTTCAACAGATCACGATGCATCCGACAACTTCGCCAGACGGCATCATGTAGAATCGCTTCCGTGTCATCCAGTGCTGCGGCTCGGCCATCCCGCGCTATTTACGTATTTGCGCGGGAGGGCGGTCTTCACGGCCGGACCTCCGTCGGTCGTTACTGGTCTGGATGGTCTGACGTCATCAGTCGTCAGCCGTGTGGATGACGAGCGGTGGGATGATCCGCCGCCGGCCGTCGGCCGGACACCTGCCGCCGGCGGAGATCAATGCACCATTGTCATCCGGCCGCCGCCGGCTGGCGCCTGGCTCCAGCGGCGGCCCGTCTGGTGACGGGCCGGGCTCGCCGCTAAGGCCGCGGTGTCCGTCGCCCGTCAGGTCGCGCCGCTGACGCCGCCAGGTGCCGCCTCTGCCGGCAGCACGGCCCGGCTCCAGGGCTCCGCAGGGCTCGCCGCTGGGGCCGCCGGTCCGTCGCCCGTCAGGGTCGCGCCGCTGACGCCGCCAGGTGCCGCCTCTGCCGGCAGGACGCGCCGCCGAGGTCCGCCCGCTCCAAACGCGGTGGCATTGGAGCGGAGCCGGATCCGGCGCCGAGACGCCATCGGCACGTTTGTTTTAGACTGCCGCGCCGTTCCCCGGGGCGTTGGCTGATCCGGAGCCGGCGTTCTTACGGCCTTCGGGCTGTCGGCAAAAGTGGTCGGCGGGCTATTCAGAGAACAAGAGTCTCGTTAGGGGACCGCACTGGTATTCATGCGCGAGCGGCCCGGCGGAAGTTTTGTCAAGGCGCAGTCTGACAGACTTCTCGCGGCGGAGCAGCGACGGGGCTTTAATTGAAGGTTGCCAGATCGTCGTTGCATGTTTCATAGAACGTAGTGGGATAATCCTCTGCGACCGGACTGGAGCGACCGGATAATCCTGTGCACTGGGGTGGGGCTGATCCAGCTTCGATGGTGTCAAACGTCGGTAAAACGAGGAAAGGCTGAAACGCACACGATGTGCGTCGTTGATCAGAAATCGCACGCAACGCGACATAATGAGCTTTGTGAAATCCGTCAACTGTCCATCGCATGCGATTTAAGAGGTCGTATCAACCTCGGAACGTGCATTGGGCTCATCATTCAATGGACTGGAAAATCAAGCTTTACATTGGCCATCCGCTTGAGGCATGAGCTGGTTTTGCCGGCCTCTGAGCGACAAACGCTCTGAGTGTTGCAGGGGAAACACGACAGCACCACAAACACGACAGCCGCCTTGCGTGCTATCGGTGGCCCTCACTGTACGTGCTGAACATACCCACGGGGTATTCAGTGAACTTGCCCTCAATGTCTTGAGGAGGAGATGGATGCTGCAGCATACTTGTTGCCACCGGCTGTCTCGTAGTCTCGCACACTTCCTATTGGTTGGTGGTATCATTCAGTTTTCCATTTCCTCCCCTTTTCTGCTCTCGCTTTTGTGTAATGAAGTCACGCACGGCTGCGGTCGGTAGCGTTCTGAACGCCGGATAAGTTCAGGCCCCAGTCGCCGCCGCTGTGCGAAATATGATCTCACGGACAAGGGCACGGAAGTCATCAGCGCGGCGGAAATTGACCATTTGCGTCAGTCACGACAGCTGTGGGAGAAACTGAGAGAGATGTTGAAGCATTATGTGTCGAAGTCAAGGCCACGGGCTCCCCGGGAGCAGTTGTTATCAAACATAGCGTGTTTGGGTTTAAGCCATAGTGCATGGATGAAATGACTGTTGGCAAATTGACGAAAATGTCGAGAGAACAAATAGATTTAAGTTTGCGTATGTTGTAAGACCGTTCTTACGGAAATGGTGGTCTTGTTAAGTAGGAGTCATCCGTCTCAACGAAAGGCGTGGGGGAGGAAGACTTGATTGGAGGCGAATAGCTGGGCTTCGCCAACGAAACTAGAACTAAACTGTATCGCTAAAGCAGCGATAGCGCTGCCTGCAGGTCAATTTCGATTGAATGGTGCTGCGTAGAGCCATGTTTCCTGAAGCAGCAGGGAAGTAACTCAATGAAATACAAGTGGAGATCTAACGTGATAAGTTTGGAGGATGCCGGTGATGACAGGGAGAGCCGGCATCGATTTCTTCAGGTGAACAGTGTGGCCTGTCTCGTAGACGGTGTACATTTCGCAGCGGATACCATACCCATCATTATGCATTGATGCTTTGACGAATGAAAATCCAATCTCATCTAACTTGTGCTGTAGCCTTCACACCGCCGCCCACACGGCGGTGTGGTCTTGACATCGAACCCCGCCTCGCGGACCGGCGACCGCCCCCTGCTCGTTACCCCCGTTCCGCGGCTGCCGGGCGCCATGGGCTGCGATCGTCGCCGCCTCCACTGCCGCCGGTTGCTGGCGATCAGCCGTGGGCTAGACGCGGGGGCAGCGCGTGATGGCCGGCCTGGCCGCGCCGAACTGATACTCGCGCTGAGCTGACACTCGCGCCGGGCCGGCCGCATCGAGATTCGAGGATCAGGCATCTCATGGCTCGGTCGATACCGGCCGATCGGGCCATTCAGGGTTATGTGAGCGATCAGGTGGATCCGCAAATGTATCACGTCTATTTCTCTCTCCGTCTCCCCCCCCCCCTCTCTCTGTCTCTCTCTGTCTCTCTGTCACTCTCTGTCTCTCTCTGTCTCTCTCTGTCTCTGTCGTGTCTTCTGTCTGTACCTGTCTGTCTGTCTGTCGGTCCTCTGTCTCTTGTCCTCTGTCTCTGTCTCTGCTCTGTCATCTGTCTCTGTCTCTGTCTCTGTACTCTGTCTCTTGTCTCTGTCTCTGTCCGTCTGTCTGCTCTGTCTCTGTCTCTGTCTCTGTCTCTGTCTCTGTCTCTGTCTCTGTCTCTGTCTCTGCCTGCTCTGTCTCTGTCTCTGTCTCTGTCTCTGTCTCTGTCCTCTGTCTCTGTCTCTGTCTCTGTCTCTGTCTCTGTCTCTGCTGCTTGTCTCTGTCTCTGGCCTGGTCTCTGTCTCTGTCTCTGTCTCTGTCTCTGCTCTTTCCTGTCTCTGGTCTCTGTCTCTGTCCTGTCTCGTCTCTGTCTCCTCTTTCTCTGTCTCTGTCTCTGTCTCTGTCTCTGTCGCTCTGTCTCTGTCTCTGTCTCTGCCTCTGTCTCTTCTGTCTCTGTCTCTGTCTCGGTCTCTGTCGCTGTCCTCTGTCTCTGTCTCTGTCTCTGTCTCTGTCTCTGTCTCTGTCTCTGTCTCTGTCCTGTCTCTGTCTCTGTCTCTGTCTCTGTCTCTGTCTCTGTCTCTGTCTCTGTCTCTTCTGTCTCTGTCTCTGTCTCTGTCTTCTGTCTCTGTCTCTGTCTCTGTCTCTGTCTTCCTGTCTCTGTCTCTGTCTCTCTCTCCTCTCTCCTCTCTCTCTCTCCTCTCTCTCTTCTCTCTCTCTCTCTCTCTCTCTCTCTCTCTCTCTCTCCTCTCTCTCTCTCTCTCTCTCTCTCTCTCTCTCTCTCTCCCTCACTCTGGAAAGAATACAGCTCGCCCCGGTTGAAAGTTACGGCATGCCTCCGGGTGGTTCTTCGTGTGGCCCACACTTGGTCGTAGCGAGAACATTACGGCGTCGAGATGAAACAGGGTTAGAAATATATGCTTACCTTCATTGCCACTCAGCAAGTGAAACAGGCTGAGCCCTGTATTTAAGCTGATTTAAAGCAGCAGCTAATGAAACGAGTCGTAAAAGTATCACGATGCAATTATTGTTGGGACTGCCGTCCCCGTCTGGTGTTTTAGAATACACACAACGTTTCGGGCTGTGAACTCGCTGGCCGTCGCCAGACATTACGGGTCGTGAGGAGGACTGGATGGTTTTTGGAAGGACTCACGGTTAGGTCAGTTGGTAAAGCGCTGGACCCGGAAGCAGAAGGCCCCGGCTTGAGTCCCAGCGATACGAAGTAGATACTTGGGTTTGTGACGCTACGTGGCTGAAAGCTAGACACCAATCCAGTCGTCCTCAAAACTCAATAACACCTGACGACGTGTGGTGGATTAAATGGCCGAAATGCTCCGCACTACCAACACGCCAGGCGAGGATGATGGTCCGAAAGTTTATTCCATTCTTGATGAAAAACTCGTTTCAATCCTTCCGCAATTTAAAAGTACCTTAGCTGTTGAAATAATTTGGTATGTAATTTGTCTTTGCGATGCAAAAAATATGTTGATAGAAACATTACGAATGGATTGCTTGATTAGTTTTGAACTAAATTAGGCTTGATGCTTTTATTTTCATTCCGTAGCCGTATAAGTGGCATACAAGTGCTTTTAGAATGGCTGATGTAGTCCGTTTACGCATAAACTCGACTGATGTCTTTAATCGGGACACCGGCACTGCAGTGGTTAAGCTGCGCTGTGTGCGTTTGAAGCTTAATTCATAGCGTATGTTATGCCTACAAAGACTACGTGTTCAGGTCGATAGGAGTTGCCTAATCGGCACGAGCACTGATGCGGCCTTGCACGCCGCACGCGGCGGTGTCGGATTGGAAAATGCTTGCCCTGAGACCATCCTGACAAAACTGTCGGGGTGTCTCCGCCTGACAATCACGGGGTGTCACTCGGCTGTCGTCAAGGCTGCTGCTGCTGTCGGGGAGCGCTCCTCAGCTGTCACGTTCGGAGCCGGCGGCTGGTGTCCGTGCGGTGCGGTTGGCAGCGAGACGATGCGTGCCGTTCGCCGCGCCCGGAGGCATGGTCGGTTTAGTCTCGCGTTGGGCGGCCTTGTTGGCCCGGGCACGGCTCCGGCCTGTGTATGTGTGTGCCGCGCCGCCCGGCGCCTGGGCTGCGCTGGTGGGCCGAGGTCGGGCCCGCCCCCGCAGCTAGACGCCGGCCCGGCCCTCTCGCCCGCTCCTCATCGACTGCCGTCTGTTGCCGCGCCCGTCGCGCCCGCTTCTGTAGGCGCGCCGTGCCATGATTATGTACGCTCGGGATATTTGCCACCGGAGAGCGTGATCCAGTCTGGTGCGGCGGCCAAAAACAGGCGCACCGCCGTCCGGTGATGCAGGCACACACACAACGCTGACAGACTGGGTCGCTGCGGTCAAGAGCACGCGCTTGGTGGTGAAGCGGTGGCTCGTGGCGTTCTCGCAGTGTCCTTCCTTCACGTGTCTTTGTGATGAGTTAAAGTATTTCAATGGAATTGACGGCCCCAGCTGGGCTGTGACATTCCGAGGAATGCGTGTCAAGGCGCATTCCGAGGAATGCGTTTCAAGGGCTTTAAGCTTTTAGCAGCAGTCCTGTCCTATAGCTTACCATTAGCATATTTCAGTATTCCGTTCCTGGGAACTGTAAATGATTCAATGTCTCACCTCCACTTGGATGGCTACTGAATTGAATATCAGGCTGCTCGAAACTGAACACGATTTAATTTGTAGCTTACAGCAGAGTATTGCCAGATTATTGAACATTCAGGTGAAATGTAAAGATTTCACAAAAGGTCCCCGCTTCGTCATTTGCTTCGAAAATGAGGCTGCGCTGAGCTAGAACCCTACACCAGACGAAGAGCAAAGTGGCCTTGATGGCGAACGTACCGCTGACTCCGGAACCGAGGAAATGCGGTTGCTCAGCAACGAACCACCAGGTACTTCGGCGATGACGTCGGCATGCAATTTGGCCCAGATCGGGTGCCCTCAGTGGTCGTTATCAGCTGGCGATCGCACGTGATCCGAGCCGCCGAACCCGGATGGCGGATCCGACGTCGCTGATGCATCCAAGCCCGAGGCGCGTGGTCGAGCCCGCGATCCTGGACTGAGAGCGGTGCTCTCAGGCGGGCCGGCTGCGTTTCGTGGAAGCCTGCATTGATCCGGGCCCGGTCACGCCTTCGGTCGACGACCTGTCTGAATGCCTATGTATGTGTGACTGTCGCCGAGTAGCCTGGATGAGAGCCAGCCGTTCCTGGTATTAGACTGCCACCCTTTGTGACATCCTGGCTGCTTCTTCCGGTGTCCTCGACCTGGTCGGACCCGTCGCGTGCCTGTTTTGTTACGCGGCTTGTCCCGTTGTTCGCGTGGCTCTGCGACGTGATCAGACCGCCGGATCAGACCAGACGTGACTGCATCTGACCGCCGATCAGACGTGATCAGACCAGATCAGACGTGATCAGACCATCAGACCGTGATCAGATGCGCGTCTGACGCGGCCCGACCTGACCTGACCTAATCTGACGTGGCCAATCCCTTCACAGCTTGACCCGACACAACCTGAACCGGCCCGACACGAAACAACCCGATCCGACCCGACCCGACCCCCCCGACCCCGACCTACCGTGCCGTGCCGTGCCGTGCCGTGCCGTCCGTGCCGCCGCACCGCACCGCGCACCGTACCCTACCCTACCCGGCCCGACCCGGCCTGACCGCGTGCGTCTTCGTCGGCAGGTATCATGGCCGGCTCGAACCCGTTCGGGCGACCTGGCCGACGCGCAGAAGTCGATCCCGGTGGGCACCATCTGCGCCGTGCTGGTCACTAGCACAGTCTACCTGACGGGGCGTCATGTTCTTCGCGCCACTTTCTCGCCTCTGCTGCTTCTCGACAAGTGAGTGGCGACGCCTCCCTCCTCGCCAGGGCTCGCCTCGCTTTTCGCGCTTTGACTGCGCACGGAGTGCCTCGGCTTCGGCTGGGGAAAGCGGCATGAAGGTGATGCGCTTCCCTGTGTGCAGGGTGTGGCGTGTCTTGTGCCCTTTTGCGACTTAGATCGGCGGTGTGGTTTGTGACGCGTGTTCTGGATTTCCCTGGTGGTTGGTTATGCACTGGTCCCGGGAATAGGACCGTTGTTGTTGCTCCCACACGTGGTCACCGTCGTGCCACGCCCAGGATGCTGTGCCGGTAAAGGACCTGGTGTGTTTTGTCCCTCCCCCCCCCCCGACGATCCCGTATTTGGCTCCTGTTTTTTGCCCGTCACCGAGCCGGTGCATAGCCCCTCTCCCACGTCCCGCGTGTGCCATTTGCTCGGTCGACTGCATCCGCGCCGCCTGCTCGGGCTGCGGCCCCGGCGCCGGCGCCGGGGCGCGCGCGGCACGCGCACGCCGCTGACTGTCGCCGTGCGGCAGGTTCGGCGATAGCGTGGGCAAGCAGCTGGTGGTGGCGCAGGTGGCCTGGCCGCACCCGATGGTGGTCACCATCGGCTCGCTGCTCTCCACCATCGGCGCCGGCCTGCAGTCGCTGACGGGCGCGCCGCGGCTGCTGCAGGCCATCGCCCAGGACAACATCCTGCCCATCCTCGACCCGCTCAGTGTCAGCTCCAAGCGCGGCGAGCCCGTGCGGGCCCTGCTCGTCACCGCCTGTGAGTGGGCCGCGCCGTGGCGCGTCTGGAGGCCGCCTGGCGTGGTGGGGGCGTCTGCTGGTGAGCGGCGTCGAGAGTCTGTGTCGGCAGGGAAGTGGATGCCGTCGCCGCGGCGCCCGCGGTGTCGGCGGGATATTACCCCGCTGTAATCCGTAGGATATTGCGTGCGCGTACGCCGTCGATAATCGCCTGCAAGTTGTCACACGTCCTGAGTGCGCCATAAGCGTCGCGCGCCGTCGTCAAGCCGGCGGAGGCGCGCCGTGCGCCGCGACTGAGATGACGAGGCCTTGCCCGCGGGCGACGTCACCCGCGGCCAGCCGGGAATGAGAGCATCGCCATATGCTGGTCGGTCAGCTGTTCGTCATCGTCCGGCCTGGTGACGTCATCGGCGTCACTCGGGATCGCCCGGGGTAATTCCAAGGTGCCTGTTTAGTGGCTCGTCAATGGCAGCCTTGGCAGTGCTTCGCCGCCACCCTTCAGCACTGGCGTATTTCTGACCTAGAGCTCGGCTTGTCGGATTGACCATTGCAAAGCTTCTAAGATATCAGCGGCAGCCAATCGAGGTAAAGCCAAATGGTGCGGTGTCCGTATTTTTACGAGAAGAAATTCGCAGCGCTACGCATAACACGCAGGGGCTCCACGGCCCAACTTTCAGCCAGTCTGTCATGCATTAAGTTTTCCGCCCGCTGAAAGTTAGCGCTGACCTTTTCGGCATTCTCCATCCAGTGCGGGACCGGTTGGGGACTTCTGGTCAGTGCCGCCAGTCGTCAACCCAGCCGCGTCCTTTCTGTCCGCTTTCGTCCCAACTCGCTGTGGTCGGCCTGTCGTCGGCCCGGTCCGCTGTTTCGCGTCCCGTGCGGACGCTCCCCGGTGTTACCCCCGTCACGTGCTGACCAGACACTCCGCCTTCCGTTCAGCGCCGACCCAGCCGGCGTCATCGCTTTCAGCGCTTCCGGCGCCCCTTGTTTCCGTCCGGTTCCGGCGGTCGTGCCGTCTGCCGGCCTTGGTGGCGGCGGTCCTGCCGGCACCGCAGCCGGTGCGACTCGTCCGTCTTTTTCGCGCCGTAATTGGCGCGCGAGGTGACGGGTAATCGAGGCGGCAGACGGTCGCGCCGGCCTGATCAGTCGACTAATTTCCGGCTAATGATGTCCCCCTAATCGCCGGTCGGCCGGACTCGTCCGGGGGAGCGCGTCGGCGCGAGGAGGCGCGCCACTGTGGTCTGGGGTCGATGTGCGTCCCGCTTGTAGACAGTGCGTAAAAAGGGCGGTGAGGAACTGCTGGAAATGGAACAGAAGTAAGAAAAAACGGCTGACGAGTGCAAAAACGCCGTTGAACAAATGGAGCCACAATGGGATGTTTTGTCGCTTTTCTTTCTTTTTTTCTTTGCTTAACGGACAGCATCGTCGTGGAAGCTCCATCACAGCACTTAGAGACGCATTCAAGGCCGGATGTTTTTCGTCGCACCACCTGCCTTGTAAAATGTCATCTCGCGCCAAGCGGAGGCTGAGCGTATACCTGCGCTTGTTATAAGATGGCGCTGGCTTCACCGTTGTGATCGGCACCGGCGAGGAGGCGTCCACAGAGCATGGGCTCGGCTCAGCAGCGCAGAGCAGCCGGGGGCGCTGGGAACGCGTCGTCCAGCGATGCGCCGTGTCCGGATGCCGTCCGGCCCGTGCGTCATGCGCTGGTCGTCCTCCGCCCCGCTGACGCCCCCGCCGGTCCGCAGTTATCTCGGAGGTGGGCATCCTGATCGGCAACCTGGACGAGATCACGCCGATCATCACCATGTTCTTCCTCATGTGCTACGGCTTCGTGAACCTGGCGTGCGCGCTGCAGACGCTGCTGCGCACGCCCAGCTGGCGACCGCGCTTCAAGTACTACCACTGGTGAGCGGGCTGGGGCGCCTCGGGCGACGGGGTCCCCGGCTCCGTGCGTGAGTTACGATCTCGGAAATGCGTGGTGCGAGGGACGGCTCACGTGTTATTTGTTTCGACGGCGCGCGCGGACGTGGTGGGGCAGATGTGGCGCCGACTGTCGGGCCGTGTCAAACTTGTCTGGAGCGCGTTTGAAGCTGGCATCGCCTGGCGACAACAGAGTTATCGATCCGTAACGAGGTCAGGTGGATTAAGAGTGGGTGGCGACCTGGTCTCGGTTGAACGGTTATCAAATTTGTAACTTGAGCCGCCTCACCCGGCCACCTCGCTCCGTGAAGGGTGATAGCTGTGCGAACATTGATCGCAGGCTCACACCGTTTTTAGCAACATGGAGTGTGGCTCTAAAATTGTCGCGGTACAAAGTCCGGGGCATTTTCTGTCACAACTTGTTTGTATTACTGTATTACATAATTTCAGCCGCAGCGACGCAGCATTTAACGTTCGGTGCAGTTGCGTCACATTTGATGTGCACAGACATGGTCCGTGACTGATACAAGTGGATAGTACACGTGTCTCTTCAACCTGTTTTAGCCCTCTCGATCATACAATGCCAGAGCAGATCAGCTGCTAGCAATCAGCAGCCGCGTGGCAGCACCTCGGGTGTGACGCGTGAAGTGGACAATACATGATCCACACACCCATCATTTGCATGTCGTCCGCCCCCTTCCGTCCCATTCTTGCCCTCTGTTTGGTTCTCATTTCGTGCGTGACTCACACGTCCGGAGGTATCCTGCCATATGGTCTCGACGTCATATGTCATATGGTCTACATTTGTAACGTTGCACCTGGACTCACCATTATGCCTCCGTGTCTCTTCACTCTTCCACCATGCTTCTTAATATACAAAAAAATTGTGTTGAAATACACCTGCGGACAGTCCTGTCATGGAGCGATTGCAGATTTGCCGACATACAACATTTGTATGGACTTTGACAACTGGAAGGTCGTTGTTCAGTTTAACTACCCGGTTTCTATAAAAGTGTCCAGCTTTAATTATTTAACTTCGGTGAGTGCTGTCTCCATGTTCATCGGACCTCTTGTCTTCTGAGCGATTGTTCCTAGGTTATCATGCAACCTTCGTTTCCATGCCGCCAGGATTGCGTTTTTCATGCCTTGGTATTGTAGGAAACGCGTATCCAAGTATGGATAATCTGCTGTAATCCGGACTAGAGTCAACATTGTACCGTTTTGCCTTCTAGTATTGTCATTCAACCAGCTCCCTACCTTGTCAAGTGGTTACGTAACCAAGAGTTCCCGCCCATTTTTCAAGATTTCTCAAATTACTCTCGCCTAATTCTCTTGAATGTTCGCCTCATTATGCTGCAGTATTTGAGGCGGCACTTTCTCAGGTCATTGACTGGATAGAAATGGTGCGTTGGAATTTTGATATGGTTTATTCGTAGAAACATGGTACAATTAAAGCATTGGTGAAAACTTTGCTGCCATCAATTTTTATAAATGCGTTCTCCAATTCGCCTGCTCTTGCTCGCAATAATTGACGCCAGGGTTAGGCAAGCAGTTTTGCGTCCTTATCCAACCTTACGGCAAACTCGTGTGAATAATATCCACATCAGGTGCATTTACGCCAACGTCTTCAAGGCTCCCACGTAGCGTGTCTTTAGCGACCTTTGGAGGGCTGGAATACTCCAGCGCACTGATGTGGCGGCCACAGCCTCCTCTCTGTGGGGCATTTCTGATGGCACCGATGTGACCTGAATTCGCATTAGCCAACGCAGGATCGATGCCATTCCCAGGCTCGAATAGCGTAAGATACATATAGGCACTCGGAGGCCGTATGATGGCGGTCACAGACGCTTTAGTTACTGCACTAGTCCAAACGATCACCTCCAATTCAACTGTGGTGCAGTCGTGATGTTAGTGTTGATGCGAGTAAGCGACCACTAATAACGGCTCAGTAAGTGGCGAAATGGCCTGCTTCTGCCCATGCGATGTGCTGGTCACTCCCGATCGTTTCTCGTCAGCCACGTAGTCGGGAAAAGTTTATGTTAAATGTTTTGTTTGGACAGTATGATATTCTCCTGCTACGGGTAGCGCTTAGGTAATGTGTTGTCTTCTTCCTTCGTCTGAGACCGAACCACAAAATAGAGCTGGCTTAGTGCTGCGGCGGTCAACGGTCCGAAATGCATCAGAGAGCATGGCAGCCGTCTGGTTTGGAAGCCGCGTCTGGCATTGTAGATTCCCGGGGCAATGTTCAGCCACAGGCTCTTAAAATACGACAGCCCGGTGCGTCTGGCGCCATCGATTCTCCAAACGCTGCAGCCCGCTAAATCCCGCGGTGAGGAGAGCATCTGTTAGTCGAAGCCGCCGAAGCCGTCCGAGCGATGGACGCTGCACGGCGTCCGTGAAAACAGGCCGTCATTTGACATGTCCGTGGCTCAGGGCCGCTCGGCACTGACGAGAGTGACGCGGACCGTCATCGCATGGCCGTTATAACATAGCTTCACATGAACTATGAGATTAGGACTGTCGTTTCTTATGAAAGGCCGCCATGAACTAAGAGATCAGGATTGTTGTTTCTTATGATGAACTAAATATATAATGTATTATATATATATATATATATATATATATATATATATATATATATATATATATATAGGCAGGTCCGTGTTGGTCCCAGACAGACCCAATGACGGGTGTCACCCTGTCTTCCCGTCGCGATGCCGACCGGCCGGGTCTGCCCGTGCGCCTGCGCGCGAGCGGGCCCTGACGCTACCGCCTCTGTCTGCAGGATGCTGTCCTTCCTGGGCCTCTCGCTGTGCATCACCGTCATGTTCATGACCAGCTGGTACTACGCGCTGGTCGCCATGGTGATCGCTTTCGTCATATACAAGTACATCGAATTCCGCGGGTAAGTGTGCGGATTTCGCGCGGGCACTCGGCGTTCGCATGCCGACCGGGCTGTCGCGATGCGTGTGGAGCCGGGGCGCGTCCCCGGCGCCAGCAGCCACGCTGACTGCTGAGGCAATCGCTGGCGTTGGCGTCAAGACCGCTGCCGTCCGTGTTGGCGGGTCGGAGTAGACGTCACCGGCGGCGAGGCTTTCCCGGAGCCGGCTCCGGCCTCGGCGTCAGCGGCCGCAGGGCAGCCGCGGTGTTGTCAGCCGCCGCCCCCGTCCGCCGCTGGAGATGGCGGCGAGCGCGCGCCGGCGCCGGCCGATGTCCGCTGGCCGTGGCAGCTGAATGGCGGCTCCAGTCTCCATGCTGCCCCTGATCAGACCATTGCGGTCTCAGAGTCCGCCGCAGGAGTCCGCTGTCGGCCGCCGGTCTCCTGTGCGAGTCTGTTGTCGGCCGCCTGGTCCGCTGTCGGAGTCCGCTGTCGGCCTCCCGGCCCGCTGTGGAAGTCCGCTGTCGGCCGCCCGGTCTCCTGTGCGAGTCCGTTGTCGGCCGCTCGGTCTCCCGTGCGAGTCCGCTGTCGGCCGCCTGGTCCGCTGCCGGAGTCCGTTGTCGGCCGCCCGGTCTCCCTTGCGAGTCCGTTTTCGGTCGCCCGGTCCGCTGTGGAAGTCCGCTGTCGGCCGCCCGGTCTCCTGTGCGAGTCCATTGTCGGCCGTCCGGTCTCCTGTGCGAGTCCGTTGTCGGCCGCCCGGTCTCCTGTGCGAGTCCGTTGTCGGCCGCCCGGTCTCCTGTGCGAGTCCGCTGTCGGCCGCCTGGTCCGCTGCCGGAGTCCGTTGTCAGCCGCGCCCGCCAGGCTGCGCGATCGGCTCGTCTCAGCGCGGCTCGATCGGGCGGAACGGCCGGCGGCGCGGCGACGAGCGGCGCTAATGAGACGAGACACCATCACGGCGACGATCCCGGCGCGGCAGAGCCGAGGCGCCCCTGTTGCCGCCGCCTGGACGCCGCTAACTGCAGATTGGAGGGAGACCGGGGGCGGACTCGACTCCGCTGGGCGGAGGGGCGCTGGCCCCCCAGAGCGGGGGGCGCAGCGGCAGGGGAGGGCGGCCTGGCGGGCGACGGTGGCATCCGTCGCTCTCGGGGCCGGCCAGGCGCGGGCGCCTGCGTCCCGCCACGTGGCAGCCGCAGCGGTGGCAGATCAACTGATTGCTTCATTTTCGTGCCGGGCTCATTTAAGCGCACCATTGGATCACGCCGCTGTAATCGGTTTGTTCCCGCCGGCCGGGGCTAATTGAATGTTTGCGCGGCCGTGCTGGCTGCGGGCGGCCGAGACGCGGCCGGGCCTGGGAAAACAGGCGCGCTCGCGCCGCCTCCCCAGGGACCGAGCTCATTGGCCGTCCGGGCACGCTCGGGCCTCGCCCGGCGAGCCGCCCGCTATCGCTTGTTGTGTTCGGGTTGAGTGTGGGACATCAGGGGTGGGGCGCTGCTGTGGCTTTATGACGCGGCGGGAGGAGCGGAGCTCGTAGCTGACTGTCCCGAGGGGAGGGGTTGTGCTGCGGTTTGAGGAGGCTGGGCTGTCGTTTGTTTCGCAGAGTGCGCGCTGTTGACAGCGTGTGGTCCTGTCGCGCTGCAGCGGGCTCCGCTCTGTCACCCACGGCGCGGCGTGGTGGGTGAGAGCCGCGGCGCCTGGCGGCAGGAACAGTTGCGTGCGTCGATAAACAGTCGAACAGCTGACCATTAGCCGGTGTCTTTGTTTGCCGTGGGTCGGCGGCCGCGCCGGGCGGTCCTCGTTAACCACCTGGTCCGTCCATTACAGGGCGGAGAAAGAGTGGGGGGACGGCATCCGCGGTCTGGCGCTGTCCGCCGCGCGCTTCTCCCTGCTGCGGCTGGAGGAGGGGCCGCCGCACACCAAAAACTGGCGCCCCCAGCTGCTGCTGTTCGCCAAACTCGACTCCGAGCTGAACATCAAGTACCCGAAGCTCATCACGTTCGCCTCTCAGCTGAAGGCTGGCAAAGGTGAGCCGCTGGCGGCCGGGGCCCGCTCGTCCTCGCCAGTCGGACCAGCTTCCCAACCGGCCGTGATACCGCGCGTTCTCGGCAGTGCTGCCGGTCCGGTGTGGGCCGGCTGGGTGTTGCGTCGCCGCCGCGCGGCTGTGGGGTCAGGGTCGGCGCTGCGCCTCCCTCCCGGCCGCCTCGCCGCTGGCGGCGGCGCGCGCCCGCCGACGCCCTAGGTGGCAGCGGGCGGCCGGCAGTCAGGTGGGAGACGACTCTCGGCCGCGGCGCCGATCAATAAGCCGGCCTGGCCGCCGCCGCCGCCGCCGCCGCCGCTGCCCGGCATAGACGTGACGTCCGGACAGCCTCCAGCGCCGCCCGCGGCGGGACGGGGGGGGGGGGGGGGGGTGCCCGGCAGCGGCGAGCGTTCCCCAGGTCTGTCAGCCGAGACCCGGTGCTGAATGTTTCACTGATCGGCGCGGGGCGCGTCGGCTCAGTGGAGCGGACGGAGACGGGCGGTGCGGTCGTGCGGGAGGACGCCGGAGCCAGCTGGCCGCCTGTCGCGCCGCACCGAGCGCCTCGCCGGCGCCGATGTACCGGCTGTCGAGCCGAGGCGCTCCGGTCACCGAGCCGCCGCGCGCACTCCTGGCACGGTCGGCTGGCCGCCAGTCGTCCCGTGCTGCCTCGTCTGACCATCGCGACACCACCCTGCTCTCCCCGCCGGTGTGGCTGCGCTGCGGATTTCTCCTCAGGACCGAGCGGACAGCATTCCTCGGGGTTCAGCCTGTCGGGTACCCGCTATTAGGAGCTATTGGTAATTTTCCCGAACTTCAGTAAATCTGAGCGCCGTGATTTCCGGCGGAGCTGTTAAGCTTGACCAGTCCAGTGTTCCGCCGCTGCCGCCGCTGCCGCCACGTCTGGGCAGGTTCTGGTCCCCGCGCTGCCCGGTCTACTGTGTCAGCCGACGACCAAATTGAGTTCCGGGCATCGCGTGGGATTGACAAGGCGTCGCGCGGGGACACGTGACGCCCGCGCTCTCTGCTGGGCTGTCCGCGCCACGCTGGACACCAGACACGTCACGTGACGCCACACACGTCATGTGACACTCGCGCTCCGTCGGGCTGTCCGCGTCACGCTGGGTAGTCCGCATGGTGGCCGTCATGGGGTGCGGCTCAGCACGCCAGTGGTCGGAGCAAGTCCTCTTCGGCGACTGGTCACGGCTCACCCCCGGCCGGTGACGACTGGTCACGGCTCACCCCCGGCCGGTGACGACTGGTCACGGCTGACCCCCGCCCGGTGACGACTGGTCACGGCTGACCCCCGCCCGGTGACGACTGGTCACGGCTGACCCCCGCCCGGTGACGACTGGTCACGGCTGACCCCCGCCCGGTGACGACTGGCCACGGCTCGGCCAGTCGTCACCGGGCGTGACGACTGCTTGCCGACCCGGCCCCACCCGTGCCCCGCGCCTTCCAGGTCTGACGATGCTGGTAACAGTGCTGGAGGGTGACTTCAGCAAGACGTACGGCGAAGCGCAGGCGGCGCGCCTCAGCATACGGAAGGAGCTGGACCACGAGAAGGTCAAGGCCTTCGTCGACGTGCTGGCCGCCCAGAACGTCATCGAGGCCATCAATCACTTGTGAGGACGGGGGTGGACTGGCGTACTCTCCCCCCCCCCCCCCCTCCGCCTGCACCTCCGCCTCCGCTTGCGCCTCTGACTCCGCCTCAACCTTAACCTTAACCTCCGTCTCCGTCTCCGTCTCCGCTTCCGCCTCTGACTCCGCCTTCTTCATCTCCTTCATCGTGACCTCAGCCTACACCTATATCTCCACCCCTCCCATCCCCTCCCCCTCAGCCCTATCTCAACAGCAACAGATGGTGACAGATGTTGTGCTACGGCATGGGAGCAGTCGCCGGGGTTCTGACGTGCCGTGCCAAGCTGTCAGGATGAGTGATGTGTTGTAAGGTCTTGCGGTCTGTTAAACCTCTGAATGTTAGCCCTTTCCGCGCTGCGTTATTCGCACTCACTTTATTCGTGCATTATTCATGCTCTACGCATTGCGAGAATCTTATAAAGACACGACATTGATAAGATAAGCCCGAACCGCAGGCGGCCAGTGCAGGGGGTATATCACCACACGCGGGCGTTCGTTCTCACCAGCAGAAAAACGCCAATCACCCATGCTGATCCATGGGTGATTGGCGTTTGATGGCGCAACTCATGGCCACCCATGAGTTGCGCTGCGTCGCAATAAGCTGCCATTGATCTGTGTCGGTGGGTTGCGTGCAGCGTGCCTGTGCTGGCCGCTGGAGGCCGCGTGCTCACCCCGGTGCCTGTGTGCGCGCGCAGTATGCAGACGGCGGGCATGGGCGGCCTGCGACCCAACACGGCGGTGCTGGGCTGGCCTTACGGCTGGCGCCACCAGACGGACGCCAAGGCGCACCGCGTGTTCCTCGAGTCCGTGCGCAACACCAGCGCCAACAAGATGGCGCTGCTCGTGCCCAAGGGCATCAACTTCTTCCCGGCCAACAACGAAAAGGTGCGAGCGGCGGCGCACTTGCCCTGGGAAGTTTGTTTGCTGTGAGTGTTTGTGTTGTACGGCCGGGAGTTCGAGTGCCGCCGGGCGCGGGCGGGCCGGGGCGCTGAGCTGGCGCAGGGCGTTCTCCAGCGCGGGCTCGCTGGCGCGGTGAAAGGTCACGCGGGCTCGCCGCCCCGCAGTTCACAGCCCGTGGCTATGAACTGCGGCGAGAGGGCTGGGGTTTGCGCCGTTTGTCCTTTCACATGTGTCGCGATCAGCTTTGCTATTCGCGGGCGCGGAGCGGGGCAGGTTTTTCGTGTGCTCATTATCATCCAGCTTGCGGCGAGACTCGAGGACCTCAGGACCCCTCGCGCCTCTGCCGGTGAAATGTTCAGTGCTCGTGGTTACGTGCGGCGAGTTCTCATCAGATCGCACTGGCGCACTCTGAGACGGTGATTACTCGCGTCGTCGTGACGCGTTCCACGTGGCGGTGACCCGTCCCGTGGTGCTGCCGGAGCTAGCGGCTCCCATCTGCGTGCTCCGGCGGGTGGGGACGAAGCCATGGGCAATCCACGATGGTCCCCAAGTATGTTTTTAACGCAGGTCATGCCCTGGCGCTCACCCGCCTGCTTAGGTTATGAAATTGCCGGGATGCTTTTCGATTCATGGTCGTTGGTTTTGCTGGTAGCGTTTGGAGTTGAACTCAGAATTTTCGACCATGAGGCCAGTGCCTGATACCACCCAATCACGTACGGCAGTGCGGAACTGTAGCGGCGCCCGGGGCCGTACTTGTTAATGCAGTTTAATAACTCAATTGGATTATCAGCTTTGCATAGGAAATGAATGTGCCACGTCATATTGTTAGTCATTTCGGGAAGCGGAAGGCTGGACGGGCACCGGCACTGTTTTGGTTTAGTTTGGTTTTGTTTGGAGCCCTTCGGCCCATTAGTGACCATTCAGGGCGACTGGGGTGAGAAGGGTGGAAGTGGTGAGGCAAGACTAAGTGCATCTGGGTTCCTCCGCCGATACGCAGCCCGCACAGGCACCGCTCTTCTGGGTATGTGCTCCTCGCTCGGACGCCCTCCCCCCCCCCCCCCCTCTGCCAAGGGCACTAGCCCACCTACGGCTGGTGCACGCAGCTCCGTGCCGTGGCTGGTCCGGCCCCGTCCGTCCGACGCCGGCACCACAGCCGTCTCTGCGGCTGGTCGGAGCCGGTTCAGTGCGGCGCCGGCCGTTGGCGTGTGAGGCGGCGGCCGCTGACGGACGGCGCCCGCTGATGTGTACGGCGGCGGACGCGGCGGTGCCCGCCGCTGACGGGCGGCGGGCCGTCAGATCGCCAGGTTCGACGTCAGAGCGACGGCCGCAGTCGGCGCGCCAGGCACCGGCCGCCTTCCGTCGGCCCGGCGCCGCGCGGGACGGCCGCTTCTCGAGCGAGGCGCTGGTGTGGCGGTCGCGGCCGGCCGCGGCCTTCGCACTTTCGTAACCTTCGCTTGCACCACGGGCATGTCTCAGGTCGTGTTTCATCCGTCCATTGCCCTGCCCTTCCGCAGGTGGTTGGCAACATCGACATCTGGTGGATCGTACACGACGGTGGCCTCCTGATGCTGCTGCCCTTCCTGCTGAAGCAGTCGCGCACCTGGAAGGGCTGCAAGATGCGTATCTTCACCGTGGCGCAGATGGAGGATAACAGCATACAGATCAAGAAGGATCTGAAGACGTTCCTCTATCACCTCCGGATAGAGGCAGAAGTGGACGTCGTAGAAATGGTGAGCACATGGTGTCTTGGTATTTATATTGCGGCAGGCGTTTGTATCGTTCGTGTTGCGTAAGCCGCCGCGATTCACTGCATGGTATATTGTCCACGCAACACTTCAAGTGAGCCTGACAATAGTGTCTCTCTCCAAGTATCAAGGCGCTTACAACGTTTTCTAGAGGCCTGTCACTCCCAGGAGTCCCTGGGTCCGCTGGAGCACACCGGCCACCGCGTGGTCCGTAAGCGCACATTGACTCTGGCCAACTCAACTCAACAGCGCAGGAACTACAACACGGACCTAGGTTCCCGGAGGCAAGCCTCGACCAAAACACGGCCTGCGCTCAACACCGCACAGCTAAACACGAAACGCACAGCCAGATCCTGCGCCTTGAGTGCGGCCTGTGTCAGCTGTAGCTGAGCCGTCCTCCGGCGCCTGCCGTGTCGTATTCGCCGCCGTCGATGGCGGCAGCGTTGCCTGGCGTGTGGCGGCCGGGGCGGCGCCGTGCTGCCGCGCGTCTGCCGGCCGCGCCGCCGACCGACCGCGCCTGCCGTGTCGTGTTCGCCGCCGTCGACGGCGGCAGCGTTGCCTGGCGTGTGGCGGCCGGAGCGGCGCCGTGCTGCCGTGCGTCTGCCGGCCGCGCGGCCGACCGACCGCGCCCGTCACTGACCGCGTGCCTGTTCTCTGCCCCACCCGCAGGGCGTGAGTATGGCGGGGGCCGCCAGGTCAGGTGAACGGAGCGCGTGCTGCATGCCCGGTGCCCGTGCGGTAGCTTGCCGGTGTCGTAGTGGACGTGTCGCCGCCCGCCCCGACCCCTGGCGTTCGCTGTTGGCCGCTGTCGGCGGATGAACGCTCCGGTTGGGGCTGTGCATGGCATTCGGCGGGTCGCGGGGACCAGGCTAGCCGTTCGCATGGCGTCGGGCGTCGGTCGAGCGGAGCAGCAAAACGTCATGGCATGCCGTCATTTTGGTAGAACGTACTGAATCGGAATAGAAAAGTCCCGAGCCTGGCCGACCTGTCGCCGCCTGCGCGGCGGTGTCTGGCGGCCCGCGAGCCGCCGCCGGCAGCTTAGGCTGACCCCAGGCTAGGACCGGCCGGCCGGGCGGGCGGCGGCTCTGCGCGGCTCTCCGGCCGAGAGGCGGCGTCCCGCTCGCAGCACGGTTGTTGTCGTTCGGGTCCTGCTTGTCCGCTCGCCGGTAGCTGAAGGCGATGCCGAGGCGTGTGGTGAAGTGGTGCCGGCTGAGGCTCGCCAGGCGCCATCATTATTGTCGTGCTGTCCGGGCGGCGTATGAAAAGCTCAGAACACTGCCTGTCTTCCAGGTGTTTTCCGCGCCGGATTTCAATGAGATCAGCGGGATATTCTGGGTACTTCGCGCACGTGATGTTGTGCGTGTCTGGCCTGCATTGTTACATGCTTTTCCCCTCACAGTTGTATTATTCACCATCATTCGTGGTAGGCAAAAAGTGGTTGTCATAGTCATTTGATGCAGGTGTCAAAGAGGTTACGACAGAATATCATTCAATGGCTGCGGGAGCCCCTCACCATGGCAGTGACTCTGGCTCCGGGGCTGTTTGGTCCGCGTACCAGACCGGCCCGTCCGACCTGAGCACGCCCTGTGCGCTCTTTGTCCGCTGGGGCTCCTGTCGCCTGGGACCGCGTCGAGGTGCTGCACTCGGCAGCCGCACATAGCCCCGCCTCCCTGCCTCGACGCCCCAGGACGCTGTCGGGGTGCTGAGTCCACTATCTTTACCTCTCCACCCTTGTTGCTGGTCATCATGTCCGTCATGTGATGCCTGACCCCAACCTGCGCCCCGCCGCCTCTTCGCTTTGGTCGTGACCTGACCTGACCTGACCTGATGTGACCCGTCGGCTGGACGTCTGTTGCAGCACGACAGCGACATCTCGGCCTACACGTACGAGCGCACGCTCATGATGGAGCAGCGCAACCAGATGCTGCAGGAGATGCGGCTCAGCAGGAAGGAGCGGAACTCGGTGGTGAGTGACGCGCCCCTGGGCGTCGCCGCCGCCTCGCGGGGCACGATTCGAGGTCACGCATCGCGGTGTGGGTCGGCACGGTCCGCTCGTCTCTTCCTGGGGCTGCACCGTGTCACGTAGGGCAGATATTGGTCGGGACGGGGTGGGGACGCGTCGCCTGTCGAAGGGGATTTATGTTTCAGGCGGTGTAGCGGAAAGCAATGATCCCTGGCAGCGAGGCATGAAAAGATGAGAGCAAATGCTGGTGAGGTGACTCGGGCCAAGCGCGAAAGCGGGGTGCGCTGCTATTGCGACAGCTTTCAAATGGTCAACACACATTTTCAGTAGTCTAACACACTCACACATAAATTATACATTTGCTGCACCGCCGCATCACGCTTTCGGTACTGGGAAGTCACTAACGTTTTCGTCCCACACTGGCCTGTTCCTTGAGTGCTACCACCGGATTAGTGCAGGGTCCTTGACCATTAGCTGTAGGTAGCAGAGGGCTTGTGCCATCGCCCACCCAGCCCGGTAGTGCGTTTGGATAGGTACTTTGTCGTGCTGTAGCGTCGGCGTGCGAGCTGTGGTGAGCTCGTGGTCGTTCCCGCGTCCTGTCTAACCTATGCGCCGCCGCCCTCGTAAGGTGGAAGCCATCATGGGCGCCGACATGGACCAGATTCGGCGCCCCTCGATCAGCACTGTTCAGGACGTAGGTGATGGTGTGCGCAGCGCCGGCAGAGCCATCCACCAGCGGCGAAATGAACTATTACGCTCAAAGAGTTCCGCAGTGTGCCGCTGCGCTATTGTCTCCTTTGCCCATAAAACGCGTTGCCGTAAATCGGCACGAGCTGTGCAGGCGACCGCCTGGCTCTCGGTGTCAGCTGTGCCGCTGAAGTGGCCGCGGTGGGTGGCGTGTGCCCCCTGCCCGGTGACGATGGCTCTGCGGGCGGGCGGGCCGGAGCGGGCCCAGCGGCGGCCGCCCGCTCCGCGCCCGGTGACCGCCGGCCCCGTAGTTGACTGCTGCCAGCCAGACTGTACATAGAACCACGGCTCGGCGCGCGCCGCGCACCGGCGGGCGTAGTGCGACCCTGTACTGCAGGCCGGCCACCACCCTCGCGTAGAGGCGCTAGCGCCCCGGCCGAGCTTGACCTTCCAGCTGTGCCCGGCCCCGCTCGTCCACAGGCGGCCGCGCTGCGCTGCCCTCGGCGCCCACTGTTTCACCGCGCAGTCGTTCAGTGTTCTCTCCTCTCTCTGTTCGTAGCGGGGCTTTAAGTTCGATGAGAGGCCGGCCCTGGCCCAGGTATTTCCGCGCCGGCTCCGCCGGCGGGCGGCTTGTCGGTGTTTTGTCTGGAATAACTAGCTAACTGTTGTGGCTCGGATTGACTAGTGTTAGTTACTGTGCAGGATGCCTTTCCACTCGCGACTGGACTGGACCTAGACCTTCCGTGGATATGTACTCATTCTAAACTGGATCGGATGACATCCTGCGCTGATCTAACTGCTCGCTGTTTGCCTGATTTGATGTTTGCCTCGTGGGCATCTATCCGCGCTAAACTGGCTCTAACGTCAGTCTGCTGCAGCTACCTGTCCGCTTTAGACCAGCCTTGCCATGGGATATATCCGACCTATCCCAGATATCACCGAGACCCACTAAGGATACCCACCGTGGGCATAAATGGACGTAGCGCCAGTCGCTGCCGCTATTTTTTCGCTGGATCTTGAGCTGATGTAGGTGCCCGGGGGCCTATGTCTTGGCCAGACTGGGTGGGACATCGGTGCCCGGCAGCCTACTATTGGCAGTATGCTGGCTGTTTTGTTGGCGGCCGTCGTCAGGCGTCTGGGCCGGGCTGGTCGCGGTGGCTGCGGTCGGCGCCCACCGTCCCCGCCCCTGGCCGCCGTGGCCCGGCCGGTCTCAGACCGAGCGGGGCTGCGGCGCTCGCGCCGGTGTCCCCCGCGTGACGTCACAGGGTCGCGCCCGAGCTGGCGCAGTGGCGATCCGCCGCCTGCCGTCTGGCGCTGGCCGAGCCGACCCCAGCCTCGCCCCCCCCCCCCCCCCCGCCTCGCACCGCCCACCGGCCCGGCCCGGCCGTGCTGTCGTGCCGGCCCGGTGGCTCCGCCAAGCTGGTGCGACACCGCCCTGCCGCTGCATGCCTTCACCGCGCTGCCGTGACCTGTAACGTCACTGGGGCACGTCTGCCGGCGGCCTGATATGCCTTGCTCGTGCTGTGGCGCTGTGTTTTCAGTGTTTTCTGTCCAGGCACCGCCGCCACCGAACTTTGTGGTGGACGCTGCATGGCCGGGGAAGTGGAGCCGTCCTTACACTCTCAGTGATCAATCAATCGAACTTTGCGGAAGGATTGTGGTTGATAGGCGAGGTGAAGTGCAAAACGGCTAGAGGGTGAATCATCAGGATAGCAATAGCACTCGCCTCTGGATGTCGCATGATTTTTTGGTTCTCTCTCTTCTCTTCGTCTCTCTCTCTCTCTATCCTCTCTCTCTCCTGCTCTTCTCTCTCTCTCTCTCTCTCTCTCTCTCCTCTCTCTCCTCTATCTCTCATTGCGCTCTCTCTCTATCTATGCTCTACTCTATCTATCTTATCTCTTCTCTCTCTCTCTCTCTCGCGCGCTTATCGCGAGAGCTCGATATATCTCTCTCTCTCTCTCTCTCTCTCCTCTCTCTCTATCTCTCTCTCTCTTCTCTCTCCTCTCTCTCTCTCGCTCTTCTCCCACTTCCTCCCCACTGCCGCTTCCTCTTCCTATACCTCTCCCTCTCCCTCCCTTCTTTCCTCCCTCTCCGCTCCACCGATTTGTCCATTCACAACTATTTAATTGTCGATAATTTGCTCTCTGCCTCACGCACTTTTTTTTTACTCCAAAGGTCTTGCCTGCTCACCCTTTCTGGCTCCCCTCCCCTTTTGTTTTGTCAATCACGCGCACGCTCACGCCAGCTGGGCTCTGAGTCTTCACCGTCCGATCGTGTGCACCGCCTCGCTCGCTCTTCACGGGCCGCATGTGGCCGCCCCAGGTGCAGGAATCGTCGACAAGAGCTTCAAGAACGACTCACCGGTGCGCTCGTCCAAGGTGCACTTCTGGAGCGCGTGCTGCCGGAGGAGGGCGGCCGCCGAGCCGCCCGGCATATCGGTGAGAGCTCGCCGCGTGCGCGCCGCAGCTAACGCGCCCGCCGTGCCGCGCCGGCAGGCTAGCCTGCGCGCGGCGCTGAGCGGCGGCCGGCGGCGCACCGTGCAGCCCAACAGTCCGGCGCCGCCGCCGCGGCTGCCGCCGCTGACGCCGCAGCCGCCGCCGCAGCCGCCGCTGATCCGTTGACGCCGCAGCTGCCGCCGCTGATCCGCAGCCGCCGCCGCGGCCGGTGACGCCGCCGCCGCCGCCGATGCGCCGCTGACGGCCGGCGACAGGATCGCGGAGGAGGCGGATCAGCTGGACATTGACGCGCTGGCAGTCGAGGCAGGCTCACAGTCCGAACCGGACGGCCGTGTGCCGCGTGCTCACCCGCTCGCCGCCCGCCGCTCGCTCGCTGTCTGTGCTCGTGTGCGAGCGTGTGCCTCTGGCTGCCTGGGCACGGGCAGGCGGGTGTCGTGCCAAGCCCGTTCGTCCGTCCACTTCCGAGTCGGTCTTCCAGTGGCAAGTCCGCCATGTCCATGTCGTTTCACCGTCCCACCTCCAGGGCGCTGTACTCGCGCTCGACAGTCCTTTCATTCGCCTCTCTCGGCCCCTTCCGTCAATGGTTACTTCTTATTCGAGATGTATTCACGTTTTGAGTATTCAGTCCATGCAGATGTCCTTGTCTGTCCGGCAAGCCGCCCACACGACCTTTTAGTAACCGACGAACACAACAAAGTCCGAGTGTGCTCGTCCGTCTGAAAGCCATTCCGCGCACGCTTCGCCCGGCTGGCCGGCGCCGCCGTCCGAGCCCGCCCGCTCCCAGCGCCGTCCACACCGCGCGGCTGTCCGCTCACCGCGCCGCCGTCGCGCGCTTCTGCCTCCTGCGACGTACGTGGCGCAGCTGCCACGGCCACCGCGCTGTACGGCGGCCCGCAGCATCGCACGCCGTCTCCGCCCCACCCGTTCACGTGCCGCCGAGCGCGCCTGCCGTCACGGTTCGGAGCGCTTCCAAGGGAGGGTCTGTGCCGGGAGGAGGGGTTTGCATCGGGTGCAGTGTTTAGTCCCTCGTGTGCTTAGGGTCACGGGAGGGCTGGAGGTGGCTGGGATTGGCGCCGTTTGTCCTTTCACATGTGTCGCGATCAGCTTTGCTATCCGCGGGCGCCGACCGGGGCAGGTTGTCCGTGTGCTCATTATCATCCAGCTTGCGGCGAGACTCGAAGACTCAGGGCCCCTCGCGCCTCGAGAGCTCGGAATATTTTCCGCCGTGATTACGGCGAACCTGTGCTGGGCGGGTGAGCCGCAGGGGACTGGCCTGGCTTCCGCTCGCGCTCCGTGTTCGTCTGTGCCGCGCCGGGCGAGACTCGGGCCTGCGTGACGCTTAGGGTCAGTTTCAGTCGTTCTCGATTGCACGCTACAAACCATCATGACCAGCCGGCCGATGTCCGACACGTAAGCCGCTCGCGCCGTTTCGTTGGCACGCTGTGCCGGCCAGCGCGGCCGGCCACCGCGCTCGGGCACCCCGCACCCGGGCCGGGTGCGGGCCGCACCCACTGGCTGGCCGGCCTGCGGACGCACCGCGCACGTGGCGTGGACTGGTCAGCGCGGCCGGTCGGGTCGGCGGTCCGACGGCCGGCCCCGGCCGAGCGCACCGCTGACGCAGCCCGCCGGCGGTCGGGCGCACCGAGCGGCTGCCCTGCACCGGCGCCGCGCACGTTATGCACCGTGTGATGGTGTGACGAGCCGTGTGTGCCGCGACCGTGGTCAGACTCCATCTCTCGACGTCATCGTGGTTACAGATGTCTTATTTGAAATATCGTTGTCATGCGTCCGTTTGATGGTTTGCATTGAGGCGCTGCCGTGCGCTCATCAACAGTAAGCGCGATGGGAAGGTGCGAGCAGCGGCTGTTGCGGCGTGGCCGCCTCAGCAGCGGCTCGTCCAGTCTTGACCTAACTTGGCTTCGGACGGGCCACTGTCGGGCGCTGACGGTGTGGTGACCCACGCTCGCCTGACCTGACCGGTCGACGCCCCAGGTCGACCTCGCTGAGGACCTGGTGCCGTCGCGCTCTCCGTCGCCACAGCGCAAGGACGAGAAGGACGCCGCCAAGGAGGCGGGCAAGGACGGCTTCAAGAAGCTGCTCGACATAAAGCCGTGAGTCTGCGAACCGCCGGGCTCGTGGACCACTGCCACCAACCCTGGCATGCTATGGCTATCCTGGTGTTCGTATGATTCGCATGGGTGTGAATACTTTGCGACGTTCTCGTATCCGTCCGCCCGGTCCTGTCCTCACAGCGTGCGGGCGGGGTTGCCCAGGCACGAGAGGACCGTTCCCCTGCTCTCATGTCCGTGGCCCACCCTCAGCGTGCGGGCGGGTACCCAGGCCGAGAGGTCCCCCTGCTTCACCGTCCGCGCGGCCCCACCCTCAGCGTGCGGGCAGGGTTACCCAGGCACGCGGGACCGTTCCCCTGTTCTCAACCCGTCCGCGCGGCCCCACCTCAGGTGCGGGCAGGGTTACCCAGGCACGCGGGGACCGTCCCCCTGTTCTCATACCCGTCCGCGGCCCCACCCTCAGCGTGCGGGCAGGGTTACCCAGGCACGCGAGGACCGTCTCCCCTGCTCTCATCGTCCGGCGGCCCCACCCTCAGCGTGCGGGCGGGTTACCAGGCACGAGAGGACGTCTCCCCCTGCTCTCATGTCCGTCCGCCGCGCGGCCCCACCCTCAGCGTGCGGGCGGGTTACCCAGGCACGCGGGGACCGTCTCCCCTGTTCTCATACCCGTCCGCGCGGCCCCACCCTCAGCGTGCGGGCAGGGTTACCCAGGCACGAGAGGACCGTCTCCCCCTGCTCTCATCCGTCCGCGCGGCCCCACCCTCAGCGTGCGGGCGGGGTTACCCAGGCACGCGGGGACGGTCTCCCCCTGTCCTCATACCCGTCCGCGTGGCCCCACCCTCAGCGTGCGGGCGGGGTTACCCAGGCACGCGAGGACGGTCTCCCCCTGCTCTCATACCCGTCCGCGCGGCCCCACCCTCAGCGTGCCGGCGGGGTTACCCAGGCACGAGAGGACGGTCTCCCCGCGCCGCCGCGGCTCTGGTGACAGCGTCTCCCTCTGGTTTCAGGGACAAGGCGAACGTGCGTCGGATGCACACCGCTGTCAAGCTGAACGAGGTGATCGTGAGCAAGTCGCACGACGCCCAGCTGGTTATTGTCAATCTGCCCGGACCGCCAAAGATACAGAGCTCCAAGAACGACTCCAACTGTATCCTTTTGTCGCGCCGAGGGCTGGGATTTTCCAGGACCGAACCGGGTTTGGTTGGTGTCCTGCGGATAGCTCTGGGCGGTATGGTTTCCGCAGTAGGTGGTTGGTAAGTTTGTGGGGTTGGTGGAGATGGTTCATGAGGTGGCCACTTGTCCACGATTTGACTTTGTGATCATTGCTTGCAGGAGATGTCGACCAGGCGTGGAACATGAAAGCTATGATGATGTTTGAGGGTTTATGAGTGCATCAGCTACTGAACCCATTCCGCGCTGGGAATATGAAAGCTGAAGTAACGCACGCTTTTGATAGTGAACGCTCAAGCATGGCATCCACGGCTAGGACCAGTTGCCGTTCGTCCGTCGTGTGAACTCGACCCAGTATTTGAATGGCATTGCCACTCCAGTGGCGTCTGGCCCGGCAAGCTCCACTGCTACGCGGGCGTGCTGTGCTATGCTGTCCGTGCCGCGCCACTTCTGGACGTTTCCTTGACCGTCGCGCGTGCAGACATGGAGTTCCTGGAGGTGCTGACGGAAGGCCTGGACCGGGTGCTGATGGTGCGGGGCGGCGGCCGGGAGGTCATCACCATCTACGTAGAGCCGCCGGTGCGGCCGGCCCGGAGTCGAACTCCAGAGTCCACGGCGCCGGACCGCCTCCGGCCGCCGGCCGCCCCCGACGACGCGCGCGCCGCCGCCGGCGTATTTATACTATTTATTGGTGTCCCCTGTGTGAGACACCGCCGCCGGTGAAGGGGGCGCCACTGCGAGCGCCGCACGCGAGCGAGCTTACCTGTTGTCTGTTGGCGGTGGGCGGGCGCGCCGCCGCGAGCTCCGCCCCGGCGCGAGCTCCGCGCCGGGCGCGCGCCTCCGGACGCTGCCGGGCGCGCCCCTCTCGTGTGCAGTGCCCACCATGCAATGTGGCAGCCCTGCGCGGCTGTGGCAGCACGTCTTGTGTCAAACGGGGAAGGCGTGGCGGTCCGCGCGCCCTCCGGCGGTGAACCGGCGGAGCGCCGAGCGACGCCTGTTACGGGTGACAGAGGGCGACGAGCCGCGTCGGAGAGGCGGCGCGTGCCCCGCCGCCGCCGCCGCCGCCGCCGCCGCCGCCGCCGCCTTTCCAGTCGGCGCGGGTGGGTCATGGAAGCGATTAGCTGGAGTGCAGGCTTTTAATGCCGTGAAATTGTCACGTTTTGGTTAGTTTATTTTATCGATTATTTATTGCTTGTTTAGAATGGCTTGAGCAGCTTTAATTAATAGCATCTCACGCATCAGATCGTTATCATTGAAAGGTCACATGTGCGGGTGGACACTCACCAGAGCCGTGGTTGTGCTTCTCTTTTTATGGGTCCATCGGCCCTGCCCTTCTAGTTGTTGTTCTGCCGCATGTTTTATTAGTATTCGTTGTCAATTTTATGATTAATTGTTCTCATTCGTTTTGGCATATTTTCCAATAAAGTCGTAGAGACCGTCTCTTTTATTTATGCGTTATGCTCCGCGTTGTTGTTGGTGCTGCACGGAATGGCTTGTGCTTGTCGGTCGCTGGCGATTTTGCGTCATGGTTGACCCATGCAGTGGTCAGGTGGGCCGACTGAGCTCGTGGAAAGCCCCCCTCCCTCCACCCCCACCAGTGAGCAGCGGGGATGTCTCACGACCGGGGGACTGGAGTTCTCTCCCGCGTCGCCCGTTCTTCCCAAGGTAGACCAGGTCAAAGGCGTGCGGCGCATGCCGAGTTTCGACGCATTGCGCCCCGCTCCCGCCGGTGCGGCCGGCAGTGCCGCTTCGCGGTAGGCGTACGTGGCAGGGGCGGCCCCTTTAGTCGCGCGCGACGTACGTGGCTAGGGTTTACACCGGCTTGCAGCCGGGGGCCGGTGTGCCAGCGCCACCCTGGGAAGGCATGTTACAGCAATGGCAGCGCTGGCAGAACTATACCTTGGCTCCATGGACCTTCAGTGAGACTGCAGAGCTTTGTTTTGTGGAGAGGGCGTGCCTGAGACGTGATTCGGATATCGGAATGGTGTGCTCCCAGTGTACACCCCCCCCCCGCCCCCCCCCCCTCCCCGAGTGGCCTGATGCACGTGAGTGTTGACTGGCAGGCCTCTTGCATGACCCTTGGCGTGCCGAATGCGTAGCGCCCAGTTTTCTGTGTCTGTGATCTTTGCTCATCCGTGGTGGGGCCGCGCCGCGGGGGCTCAGGGGCAGCGAGCCCCGGCGTTAAACGCCCGGGCCGATGCACGCGCGCGCGGTCTCGTACAAAGTCGCCGCGCTCAGCGGGAACGCTGATGGTAAATTAGGCACGCGCGGTTCAGGTAGGAATGGTAAGGCTGAGTGGCGCAGATGGTAAATCTCCTTCTCTGCGAGATGTAGTCGATTAGGGGACCATGAGCTTTCAACTGCAGTCCAGTAGTGTTGTGCTATTGTTGACAGTGGAGCAGTTTATTTTCCCGCGGTGTGTAGCCTTCTTGAGTCAGCTCGCTCTTGTTAGCGAATGCCGAGCTTCTAATGTGTTTCGACTTCAGATAATGAATTATCGACGATGGTGTGTGTGATGCGTGAAGGGCGCCTCCGCTGCTGGCTTTGCCCCTGTCGAAAATTACGTAGCGTTCAAGCTTGCAATAAGGATGCAGATGTGCGTTCGTTAGCAGGGGTTCACTGTAGGACGGATATCGTATCATGTGAGCGTACCCACTAAGTCACTCACTCACCCCACATCTCACAACCCCTATATTGCTGCATTCATAGGAATCTGCAGACTTGGAAGTGGAAGCGAGCTTGGATCCCTTTGAAACTGCGCCACTTTGTGCAGCACTGCACATACTGCGCGCACGTGGGCATCGTTCGTCATTTGAGTGCCCCTTGTCCCGGGATCGCCAACTGCTGGTGGCGACTGGTGCCAACGCCACCAGAGATCAGCATGATGACCCCCTTTTGCGGAAAGCGCGTCCTCGGCGCGTTGGCATCGCCCCGAGCTGCACGGCCCGGGAGGCGTCGGCCCGCTGGACAGCTGCGGCGCCGTAGCCGGTTGTTGGACCACGTTTCCCATTAGGTGGCGTGTCGTGGGGCCCTGTCGTATGGAGCCGCGGCGCGTGTTGTCTGCCGGCCGGCCCGTCCGCGCCGCGTCGAGCCGGCGCGAGGCCGGCCGGCTTTCGGCCGGGCCCCGCTTGCGCCGCCCAGTATAGCTCACTCACCGCATGACCACCCGTGTCGTATAGGTTAGCTCGTCTGGGAACTGTCTCATCTTCATCCCGTCCATGCTCACTGGTCGTCGTCGGCCGTCGTAGGGTCGCCGTGGACCGCTGTAGGCTGTCTCGAGTAGTGGCTGTCGGGCGGCGGCGCGCGGCGGCGCCCCGCGCCGGCCGCCGCCGCCCCGGTCGCCCTCCTCGGGGCGCCGTCAGCGAGGACGGGGTCGGGGCGGCGTCGCGTCGGACGGGCTCGACCGCGCGTCGCTCTGCCCCATCATCGTACCCGGCCGTCCCTAGGAGACCAACGCTGGATGTGCTTAGCCGTTATCTGTGCGTCTCATTAGTCAAGTGCCTTCCTTGTTTCCCCTATCGATGTACTCTGTGTTTCTCCGAAAATAAACATTCGTTCGAAAAGGTGCGAGCGGCTGGGAAGGTACCGCGGGAAGAATTCAATCGAAGGTACCGCGAGTGGAATTAAAAACACGCGCATGCGCAAGCGCGTCCTTCGGGTCAGATGAGAACTGAGAGGTCTCAGCTAGATGCAGTCACTGACGGAAGGGGTGCGGTCGGAGCAGCTGGCCAGTCTGGGCAGGACAGGCAGCGGCAGGCGCGGCCGAGTGGCCGGGAACTGCCGCTGCTCCCAGCGCCAGATGACCCGGCCACGCAGAAGTCAGAGGTCAGCGGAGATCCGCGCCCTGTCTTCGCCAGCCATTCCACTGCGACGAATCCCGCGCCCGCGTGATCAGTATTCACTTGCACAAGCAGACGCGGAAGGTCACTCGTTGCCGACAGCGGGAGGAACTCACCAATTTAATAAACTTCGGAATCCTGCCATGCGTCCTTTTAGACGCGTGCTGAACTCTGGTCATCTGACAAAGATTCATTCTCGTGCCCAGATCACGTGATCACACCAGTGGCGGTTCGTTCAGATCTTCATGACAAATGAGACTGACAGGGCGCTCGCTATGTCAAAGCGAAGCAGTGAAAGCTAGCATCGTATTCAATGTCTATATTGTGTTTCTCATTTAAAAAGCATCAATACACGCTATGCAGCAGGATTCCATTCACTCCTCATCAACTTCGATAAACCAATGTGTCCATAGTGCCAAGTGGCCGTGAGTTGTCCCAAGTACAATCGGCCTATGTCACTGAACCACACCCAACTTTCGCGTATCGCTGCCGGTGATGTAAAACGATCGGATCGGCTGGGACGGAGCAGCTGCGAGCAGGCACATACACACGCTATTCAACCACCCCCTGCGTTCGACATCACCACTTGTATTGGAGCCAACACGTTTTAGCCAATGAAAACAACTCATTATATTATCTGTGTACTGGTGAACATAGACCCTCGCACGACACCCAGACGCTGCAACGCAGGCGCCAGCAAGTCCTTGGAAATGTATCGGACGTGCCCGCAACAGTGGACGGATTCATCGCAGCTCCTACGACCTGCTGTCGTCGGGAGTGGACGGAGTCATCACCGGTTCTGTTCACCACACTCTTGGCCGGCGTCGGCCACGGTTCCGGCATTGCTTTGTTCCCACGCGCGCTAGCCGCCTCAATGTGACGCAGGCGCAGCTGGGGAAAAGCGCCCAGCCGGCCCAGGTTCTTCTTTCAGAGCAGCAGCAAAGTTGACGTCTTAGGCGGTTAAAATGAGGCAGCCACCACTGTACAAAGACCAAAACTGTACAGCCATCATTCATGTTAAAAAAGTCGTACAAACACAAGAATGCGTTGATGAGATCGAAAGCAATGCAGATGTCAACAACGCAGAAACGTGGAGCCGCCCAGGCTGCCCTCGAGACGTAAGAAGTGTTCCAGGATCGCAGTGGTGCCATCGCACTGGTGCCATCGCACTGGTGACCTATTTAGTCCACCTCAACATAAGGTGCCTGCGGCGGAATTACGACATCGTACCAACCTTCGTGCAAAACAGTTGGCAGCTCATTGTCTCTTGGCCGACCACGCCGCGGCCAAGGGCGCCAATAACAGTGCGTGGATAAGGCCATTGGCGGGATTCGCAATCTGGCAAACTATCTTCGCCATCTGGCAAACTATCGCCCCCAGTCTGCACTGGGCCAACGAGCGGGCGCCGACGGGGTCAGCTCCGCCCCAGTCATGGCCCGCAGTGCCCGCCGCAGTCCGGGTTCAACCTTGACCTTGGCGGGCGCCGTGCTGGGGCGGCAGGAATGGCCGCGGCGCGCGCCCGCCTGCCGCGTCGCACGCTCTCCACCGAACAGGCGAGCTCACAGTCCGTTCGCCTGTCGGCGCGCAGCACCAGCTCAAGTTCAGCGCCCCGTCGGGAGATGTCACTAGCAGTCGTACTCGTCGTCCTCCACTAGCTGCTGAGTATCTTTGCCGGAGTCAAAGGTGGCCGGCTTGGTCTCGCGGGTGCGCGCCATCGGAACGGCGGCCGACTGGTGGACGACGCTCGAGGGCGCGAGCACGGCCGCGTCCGGTTTCATCTCCGTCGGTACCTCGTACACGCCTGGCGGCGACGGCGCAGGTCATACACGGCCGTCACGATGGGTCAACACCCAATGGTACTGAACGGTGAAACTGGCGTCTGCTTGCAGGCATCGACGTCAAGTTTTCAAGCTCGCAGCGCTGGTACGACGGAGAGTTACGCCGCGTGGGTTTGGATCAGCGCCCAGCAGTAGCACCCAGCGATTGAGTGGGAACAGGACACCGTTGCGTTGTGTGTGAATGGGAGCAGACAATGCATAGAAACGGGGACCTCTGCTAGGCAGATCCGCGCCAGGTGGTGGCAGAATGACTCTGAGTAGCCACCATTTTGTATTAACCCTTCATAGCTCATGTGGTGGCACGCACAGACCGTCGTTTAGTCACTGGGGATGGTCACTGGAGATCAGGGTCACAGCCAGAGCCTTGGCAACGGAGCACGCAGCGTTGATAAAGGGCCCCCAACACGACGAAATCATCGGAACGATATATTTGTCAACGAGAGCATGTTTTGCTTTTCCTTTCCTTTGTCTTATCTTCCATAAATGAAATGGAAGCGGGAGGCTACCGCGAGATCAATTATGCCTGAATTGTTCAGTCAACAACTGAAGAAATAATGCTTCTTTCTCATGCGTTTCATACGCTTCTTCGTAGAATGACCTACAGCCAGCCCTTCATGCTCTTCAGCCCTCCAATCGGGCCGTTGAAATTTGGTCTTGAAAGACCCTTCGGACCCTCATCAGGCCCTCTCAAACACCGCTCCTCGCCAATTCAGGGCCAGTTACGCCACCGAACCCTGATAGGCACTGTGGCTCCTGACCGACACAGGAGCCACACACTATGTCAGGAACCCTGATCATTGCAAATCTCGGACTCGGCCTTGTTCCAGCTTGTAAAATATGTCCAAGGGCTCAAACGGACATGAAGTCGACTGCTTGACTCCGTGTCGAGGCCCTATAAAAGGGATAGAGATCCTTCTTATGAGGTCCTTAATAGAAGCCTCCTTTTGATATCTTAGGTATCGGCACCACGGATGAGCAGCCGGGTCCGAGTCCCATCGGGCTCTTGACCTATGGTCCCGAGGGGCCCTTCGGGCCCCTCTTCGGATCCTTGCCAGTACAGCTACCGGCCGCCTGGGGCTACTTGCCGGCACAGGACTCCCCATTAGGCGCTGCAGGCTCGTTATCGACACAGGGGCCCAACCACTGTATCAAGGGCCCAGACCAATGCAAATCGTAGCCTCAGGTCTTGTTCCTGCTGGGGAAATGCCCCCACCCCCAACCCCACCCCCGGCAGCCAACTGTTCGACGCTGGTGGTCTCCAGCCGTTTAAGACAAGCCGTTTAAGCCGTTTAAGACACCCGCATTGTCTCAGGGATGCCTTCAACGGTGCTGGAAAAGTTCTGATATTTCATGCCACGACCCTACGGGCCGCGATTCTTTATGCGAACTACAGTCAGTCCTTCGGGCCCTTATACCCTCCCAACCGGGCCCTCGATCGTCGCTATCGGTGGGCCGCCCGGGAACCTCTCCGGGGCTCATCGAACGCTGCCCTTGGTCGGCTCGGGGCTCCTTGCGAACACAGGACCATCTGTCAGGCACAGAGGGCCCCTGACAGGTACAGGGGCCTGACCAGTGTAAATCGATGGCCCCGGCTATGTACCTGATTGGGAAGTGGGTCCTCAAGTTCGTACCGACACGAAACCGACTGTGCGGTGCTGATGGTGCCTGACTGACATATAAGCCCATATCGACCTCGACTCAGGGGCCCCCAATCGGTGCAAGGAGCTCTCTGACTGCTTTTTTCCACCGGGGTCTCTGAATAGGACCCTGACCAGCCCTTTGTGCCCTAAGCCCTCCAGTCGGGCCCTGGAGCGCAGGTCCTGGCGGGCTCTCCACGCTCTTCGAGTACCCTCGAACACTGCACATGGCCGACTCGGGGCCTCTTGCTAACGGAGGGCCCCCGTTAGGCGGTGTGGGGCCCTGACAGACGTTGGGGCTCCGACCAGTGTAAATCTCTGGCTCCAGCTTTAACCCTGCTTGGACAATGAGCCCCTAAGGCTCATACCGACGCGGAGCCGACGAAGTGTTACTGAAGGTGTCTTACCGACACATGAGCCGGTATCGGATCAGGAGGCCCCTGATCATCGCGCGCGGCCCTCTGGCTAGCATTAGAGCGCCCGCCCTTGTGGACCGTGGCCCCTGAGCACGACCTCCGGCCGGCCTTTCGGGCCGTTCGGGCCCCTAAAATCGAGCCCTTAATCGCAGGTCCCGGGAGAAGCGAAGGGCACCTCGGGACCTAAGGGGAGGAGCAGGTGTCCTCGTCCTGCCCCGCCCTCCGCTTGCGCCATTGCTGGAGATGGAGTCATCTTCTTAAAAAGCCCCGTGCACACGAAGGCTGCCTTTCTGCTGACCTGACTCGATCCATCGCATTATCTGCTGATCGGCTCAAGACAAGCTCATAACAAAACGGCACGTACGCGGAATGGGCCGCGCGCCTGCCACCGAGTCTGTTGGTGAAGCAGTGCATCGAAGATATTACCTGCTGACGCCGCCTGATCGGCGTGGGCCTCTATGTTGCCCATCGTGTCGTACATGGGATTGCTGAAGTTTCTCGTCTTGCTGTCGACGCCGACCAGATCAATGCCGGCATCCATGGGCTGCGCGAGGGTAGGATCGTCAGCCGTCACTCAAGCGTCATATTGCCATCAGCGACCAACCATGACAACAATCACTCCAAGGGGATTTACTTATCAAGCTACCAGAGATATGCGCACATACCCACGCGCTATACGCCCGTTGCATCCAAATAGCAGGATTCGCTGTGATAGTGCGGGGCGGGCTCCGTATAGGCCGCGAGAACGGCCGACGGCTTAACGGACACGTGTCGCTGACGAGCGGGGGGAGGGGAAGGGGTGGCGAGCCACCGGCACCCACGAGCCGCGCGCCGCCGGTACGCACCGCCTCGGCCGCCGCCGCCGCCATTGGCGCCGAATTCGACGTTGGTGCCCGGCCGGAACGACACGCTGGTGGAGCCGGGCAGGCCGCCGGTCACCGTCTTCACCCTGCAAAAACGGGCGGCGGCTGTAAGCGACGCACGGCCGCGCGGCAGCCTCGCGGACAGGCCTGGGCCTCGGCGGCGGACCGGCGCCCGGTGAGCCGGCGGGCGCTGCAGGTGGCAGCGGCCGCACAGCCCACCACCTGGCGCCTCGCCTCACCCCACGGCCAGAGTTCAGTCCCGGATCACGACGTCGGCAAGGGATCACGGCGCCCGGATCATGACCTCGTCCAGGACGGTGATCTCGACGCTTGGGCAGATTCCGGTCTGGGGCCGTGGTCTCGGTCCAGTGATGAGACTTCGGCGCGGGTATTGTTAAGTTTCAGCTGGTCCGAAGCCTCCGATATGATCTGAGTACGTGGCCTGAGAAGGACCCTCACGCGACATACACGGGCGCCTGCCGGAGCCAGTTCACGCATTTTCGTACTTTTGACAGAATAAGCAGCGCAAGACATAAGCACCGATACAGAACACAACCTGAGAGATGCTCATAGCCAACAGCATGAAGCAAAGGCCGAGATCCGATAGCTCCCGCCTCATTTCCAAGCGCGTTATGACGGTAATGCCACGGCTGCTGCTGTCAATACAATGCCGGCATCACCGGGTACTCACAAAGGCACACGTCTCATAGACTGATAGACCAAGACAATGAGCCACGCCTCGGCCATTAGGCGGTCAAAGCCACTCACCCTCCGCGTCGCTTGACAAACATATAGCCGGCGACAGCTCCGACCAGCAGCAGGATAAGCAGCACCGGGATGATGATGGCGGCGGGGTTCGTCTGAAACACGCGCCCATCAGCACTCGTGCCTGCTCCCGTCGTGTGCCGCGAGGAAACTGAGCGCATTGACAAATATGCTTCACAGCAGTGTGAGATCATAACTCATGGCTGCCACAGCCACCAGACCGGATCAGAGAGCTGCACCGATTTGGGTTGAGCGCAACGGTGAACGGCGCAGAGAAGGCATCGCCTCACGAAAAGGCTGTCGCTGAAGGGACATCCACTGGCGAGCAGGGTGGCTCAGCCGCCAGCGGTCGGCGACGGATCGGCTCACCCCTCCGGCCTTCTGCACGCGCTTCCTGGCCACGAAGGTGTCGCACTGGGGCCCGCTGTACTGGTCGACGCACTCGCAGCTCGGCTCATCGAACGAGCCGTCGGGCACGACGCAGACGCCGCCGTTCTGGCAGCGGCAGACCAGCGGCCGCGGCCGCTCCGCCTCCAGAGCTGCGCACAGACGGGACCACGGCCTTCAGACCACGCAGGGGCGGGCAGACCAGGCACACAGACACGGAGCTGAGACACGCTGTATACACCTGGCACACGTGCGTGCATTCATCAGTCCGCGCACGAACGCAGACACCTCAGTCAACGCCTTACACTCCGGGGTAGTCGCGTCATCGCCTGTGTGCGTAAGCGCGTCCGTTTACGAGAAAATAAGACGTGGATTAAGCGTGGATTAAGCATGTGAACATGGAGGCATTACCAGCAACAGAGCAATCGTAAAGTCACCGTCATTTCACCACGTATGTTCTCGCGCCGCGCCCTGTACGCAAGCACCGACGAGCCCGCCGAGGAAAGCGAGCCGCGCCTCCG